CTGGATTTTCCATCTCTAGAAACCAAAACAATACTTAACTTCCAAGTAGACACCGAAGAAGTAAGCACTTGCTGAATAGTCAAATGGATGCTCTTATTTCATCTCTATCACAAGCCTCGGGCCTAAGCACCCCGACATTTTACAAAGGAAGAAACGGAATGGAAAAAGACTAAGTCATTTGCGTAAGCGGAGCTGGTGGGATGGTTGAACATCCCTTAACACATGCATTATATTTAAAAGAAATTGGAAAGATTGTCTCTTTAGTCTCTTCATCTCTGAGCATGAATGGCTTCAATTTTTGCTGTAAAGATATTTTATCTTTTAGTTTTCTAGTAACTCCTAGTGTTACTTTGTAAAGTTTTAGCTTTAGTGTCTCAAAATTCTGCATTTCCAAAACCATTTTTAAATTAAAATGTTTCTTTATACAAAAACAATAAATAGGTAATAAATGAAAATAATGAATGAAAATAAGTGAAATCACCAAAATACCTAGCTGTTAATTGTCCCTGATAATATAAGATAGATAAGACAAACATTTTAATGAGTTGATCACATTACACCTTGTTTCATTATATTTCACATGATATCATGTTTAGATGTTTTCATATTGCCATTCACTGATATGATGTTAAATGTCTATATTCTATTATTTATAAACAGACACCATAACTTATTAAATCAAAGGTTTTTTCTCTTGAATTTTACTTATTATCATGTCACACTGAGCACTTCTCTTTTTCCATAGTAATACTGACATGTAATCCATAACATTCATCCATTTTAAGATTCTATTAGTGTTGGAGATCACTATGAAGTGGCTCTGAGCAGGATTTAAAAATTAACAGTTGGCTTTCTATGTTTACTTGTGAGTCTATTGCAGGCCTAAGGCCTGGAGATGCTCAATGGATCCATAGTAAGTGAATCTGTATGAATCACTGGTCCTGGCTGAGGCCTGCTGAGAACACCTGGCTCCAACCCTGTTAATTACATATAGACTGCAGCTGCAGGTGTCTCACTCCTGCCCTCTCAGATCTGCTGTAAATGTTAACCTGGAGAAAAGACAGTTCTTCTAAATCAGCATAATTTACTAATTTACTACTTGGAAAAGTCTTTGAACTGAATCCCAAGGTCTTGCTCAATTTCCATGTTTTCCTCAGTATCCCATCCCTTTGTTTAAAAACCAAAAAAATACAGGTGGCCCAGAGTTCTTCATCTCAGCATCCAGAATCGTGACTTCTGGTAGACACTTGATTCTCTTGAAGCCCTACAATCATAGTGCTTGTCTCCTTCATTTAAGCCTTCACTGTGCACTCATTTGGAAGGTTGGGCCTGATCAGTCTGTAATATATTAGTTTTCAAACAGTTGTATAAACCCTTTCATTATCTTATTTTAGGTGGCTTCTGGAGAAATTCTAATTCTCTTTTTAAAAGTGGGAAAAGTAGAATAAACTCTTTGATTTAAAGATCTCACTGACTTAGAATTACTCATGTCATAAAAATAGGTACCTGTTATGGTTTGATAACTAGTGGTCAACTTAACACCAGCTGGATTACATCAACATGCATTGAGAGAAGATGCTCCACCGAGGAGGGTTGCCAGGATAAATAGGTGGAGAAGAAGGGCGGTGTTGAGAGGGATTGAGGCGTTATGGAGGCATTGTTGGTTCTCCTACTAGTTACTGTCTGAACTGTTGGTTCTCCTGGAGAAGCTTTGGTCTTCACATCGAGCATTGCTTCCTGGCTCCGGAGGGGAAGACATGTGCTGCCTGGTCTCCAGGATGAACTCGACATGCCGCTTCCTGGCACATACCTGACTGTGCTTGTCGGAGGAGCTCGGGGCCTCCGTGTCATTAAGGACAGCTGTGGTGCCTTTCAGGACAGCCCCGCTCTTTGTTGTGAGTGTGACTTCTTGGCTCCAGTGTAGAACCCTCATCCCACTAGCACAGCTCCTTCATCCTGCTGGCATAGACTTTCTGGCTTCCACCGCTGACCTTTGGGTCTTCCCGGCACGGATCCGTAAAAGAGACTGGCGTGAGTCCTTCTTGTGGACTTTCGACTTCCAGTTGGGACTTCCAGGTGTTGTTCTGAGCTCTGGGTTTTTATCTGGACTCACGTGGGACATTGCCATGGGGTTTAGACTCTTGACTAAATAATCTATGTCGTGGGTGTTGCGGATAGATTTCCTGCATTCTCCTGTGTTAACTGCTGGTGAGCATTATAAATATATTATAAACTCCATGTCCTGATCCGAATTGCTCTCTGTGTAAAACCCCTGACTATAACAGTACCCTTAATGTGCAAAAGATGAACTTGTGCAATCAAAGTATCTTAAGCCTCATTCTATCTCCTCGTCGAAGTGACAATACAGTATACTTCCTTATTTGTGGTTTTTTCTTTCTGCAGTTTCCTTTATCTATGGTTTACACATGGGCATCTGTGGTCTGAAAATATTAAATGGGAAATTACGGAAGTAAACAATTCATATGTTAAATATTGTGCACCATTCTGAGCACCATGAAGAAATATCCCCCTGATCCCTCTGTCCTGGCCACATGTGAATCATCCCTTGCTACAGTGTGTCCACATTGTATGCTATTCAACACTTACTGCTCATCATGGTCATCAGATCAAATGTGATGGCATCACAGTGCTTAGGTCCCATTAGTTCACTTAATGACTCTAAAGCCCAAGAATAGGGATGCTGGAAATTTCATTATGTTCTATTGTTAATTATATTTATTATTCTCTTATTGGACCAAATTTATAATTTAAACTTCATTATGTATAGGAACAAACAGTATATATGGGTTTGGTGCTGTCTTGGTATCAGGTATCCCTGTGTGACCTGGAGGGGAGGATCCCTCTAAGATAAGAGGATAAGTGTTGCAATCTGCACTCTCTCTCTCTCTCTCTCTCTCTTTCTCTCTCTCTCTGTCTCTCTCTCTCTGTCTCGGTACTGGCAATTGGGAATCAAACTCATTACCTCATGCTTGCCAGGCAGGCTCTGTGCTGCTGAGCTGTATCCCCACCCCATGCATTTCTTCTTTAATATGCTGTGTGTGCACCATTTACATGACTTTTTTACCATGTGCAATGAAGTCTAGGAAACTTATTTTCATTTGCATCTCTTTACTCACTCTGCCTCTTAATCATAGTTATCTATTTCCATTGTATAAATGGAGCAACATGACATATGATAATTTTTATCTTAACCATCAAATATTAATCAAGAAACTCTTGAAAAGTGGATTAAGATGTATCACCCTTCTTCTGCTCTTTCATTGTTCTTTTTTACTCCTCCTCAGCTCTACGTAAACATGCCTGGTTTTCTTTCTTCAGTTTTTTTATGTGTACATGTTTGCAGTGCATACTGATTATATTCCTCATGAGGGAGCTGGCACAGGTACATAACACATCTCAATTCTTTCCCATCCCCTTCCTCTCCCCTCCCTTATCCTCCCTTGGTCCTCCTCTCCCTTTTGCAAAAGATCTACATGCCTGTGTTTTAAACATTTCCCCTTCCACTTCTCCTCCCTCCTTTTGTTCCTAACTCGTCAGTTTCATTTGTTTAAGAGTATTATTCCAGTTTCTGTCATTTTTATTGGGGTTTTGGCTTTTCTGTTTCTGCCTTGAGCCTTGTCACTGAGGCAGTCAGAGTTGGAAGCAGGTAAGGGATTGGCTATAGTCAGCCACAAAGTACCCTATAGCCTTGTACTAATTACTTAGATCTCATTTATCTTGTTCTGTAAAATTGTGATGACTTTATAGGGTTATTATTAATATCAAATGAATTGATATGTAAAATGCTTGGCAAGTGCCTAAACATTTGGTAAGCCTTTGATAAATGATAGCTATTATTAGAGCTTACAGAAAGGTTTAATGTTGTGTAATCCTATTTATTTTCCCAACAGCTGTAGGTGCTATGCTTAGGAATTACCTTAAAGCTAATATGAATCATCACCAATATTTTTTTTCAGAAAATTCCAGAATTTCTATGATCTTATCTTTAATACATATGGAATGTATTTTGTTGCATATTTTATGAAGTGAGGACTTGGCTACATTTCTTCATATATATAGGCTATACATATGATTAGTCAGATTTTCAAATATTTTTTGAATAAGTCATCCTCCATTCACAGATTTGAAATGTTACTTTTATGTTATCTGTTTTAATATCTGGTAGTGTCAGCTCATAATTAAATCTTCCAAAGTTTCTGTAGTATTCTTGTGTATTAATATCTTTATACTAACTTGAAACTCAACAAACTGGTATTTAAATAATATTGCATAGCATCAAGTATAATAGATTATTTTCATGAAAAGTACCTTTTGTATACAATATTCACATATATGAATATGGTGTGCCTCATGTTCTTAAATAAAAGCACCTCAGTTAAACTTCATAACTATGTTAACATTGATAGTGACTATTGCTCATTAAGGTTATTCCTGTTTTATGTATTTTGTAATTGTGAATGGTATTTCGTTGACTATTTTCCCCTCATTAGTTATTGTTCTTATATAGAAAGTATTTTTATAAATTGCTATCATAACTACCTACCTTATTGTACTTAGCCCTTCTAAAATGTTAAACTGGTTTTATTGAATTTTTCAAGCAATCACATTATTTGCAAATCTAGCAATTCTAATATTTATAACTCATTTTCTTTGTTGTATTACATTATTCCTCCCCACTTATTTTTTTGCGGGGGAGGGTACCGGGCATTGAACTCACAACTCTGCACTTGCCAGGCAGTGCAGGCTTGTGCCGCTGAGCTAAATCCCTGGCCCTCCATATACTTGTCCTTAGACATGTCTTTTCTTACAAGTCAGAATCAATAGAAACAGAGAATAAAAGTTCATCATGTCTTTCTCCATGATAATACTTCTCTTACTGACAGTTACTGCAGTGGAAATTTATATGTATTCCCTAAGTCTTCTAATAGTTGATTGTAGAGAAAATTATTTCCTTTTGTTTTTGTTGCTGTTGTGGTTACCTTTGCAGAGGAAAGGCTGATGACGTGCTGATCTTTTTCATTGGTCACGATTTCGGTGATGCTGAACATGTGTCCCACCAGCTTCCCCACAGGCTTGGTGCTGATGTAAGGGTGCCACAGCCGGAGGACTTTATCTTCTCCTAAAGAGGAGCACAGCCAAAGATTATTGGCCAGAGTTTAAAGAGGATCTGATTCAATCCTATCCTTATGCTTCTTCTAAACCACACCTAGTTCCTTCTAGCCTGTGGTCACTCGCTAAGGCACTTGTCTTGTTTGGGATCTGCTGCTTCTTGGTCCAGGCTGTTTTGTGGTGAATGCATGTAGGCATACCAATGTGAATTCTCATAAATGTTTTATGACTGCTTTTCTTGATTCAATACTATCCTACTCCTTCATGCATTAATGTATTATTTATACTTTATTTACTTCCAAAAAGTATTTAAAGCAGCTGTTCTTTAGATTTTATATTCTTCAATTATGCAAACATTATAATAATAAAAGAAATCAAGGGAATCAGAAAACTGCACAAGATTTCCATCACTGGAACAAATCAACTGTTTTTTTTTTCCATCTTCCCTTCAATCACATTTCCATAAGCACATATAATTTATGCATAAGTAATATCATATTACAGATCTTTTAAATTATTAAAATCATCATGCTACACAGTAAAAGATTTAAACAGTATAGAAGGATATAATTTTTATTTATAAGTCTTCTTTTTCCGATGATTCCTAGCTTCACTCCACTTCTGATAAGAAACATTGTTAACTTTTAAAATATTGTACATGTTTCTAGATATATTTTCAACCCATTTTTTTTCAGATGGTGGTGTTACTCTGTTGCCTATGTAGCCTTGAACTCCTACACTCAAGCAATCTTCCTGCCTCAGGCCCTCGGGAAGCTGAGACTATATATGTGCATCACACATCCAGTTCCTGTTATTTTTTGTTTATGTTTATAGAAGGTCATGGGCTCATGCTTTTATAATTATAATTGTAATTTGTTTGCTTCTTAAGACATGCTTTTATTTTTAATTTATATATACTAATTGTAAATATTTATGGGATATAATGTGATATTGCAATACATGTATGCAATATGTAATGATCAGATTGGGCTAGTTTTGTTTTGCTGTCTTGTTTTTGTTTTGGGACAAATGTAATCCATGTTGACCTTGAACTTGTTATGTTACCCAGGTTGGACTCAGCTCAGCTTTCTGCATGCTTGGATTATACCTCACAACGAGCTATATCTGCTAATTTTATCTTTTTCTTCTGTGAACTATATGACTGCATCCTTTGCCAGTGATCTGTTGGAATTCTAATGATACTAAAAGTGAAAATTCAATCAGAAATTTCTGATTATGTGTATGTACATACATACACACACTCATGCATGCACTCACTTTTATGATAAAGCTTGGCTGTTTGTTCCTGTAATCCCACATCCTCTCTTTCTGGGTACACAGATAAGCTATATTTCTTTCCCAGGATACTTTGCAATTAGATGTGGTCAAATTACTTTTAGTTGGTGAACTACAAGAGTTTATTTTAGGTTTCACATGACCCAAAGGAAAAACCTTTCCATTGTGTTTGAGTCATTTACCTTTGGAGTTTATTAATTACATTGGTCTGCATTATTTGAAGGAATTCATAGTTGCAAACTATTAAAAAAAGTAATCAACACCATTTGTAATAGTGTATAAAATATAGAATTTTTAAAAATATTGTATTTTATATTTCACAAATAACCCATTACATGTCATCCTGAAAGTTGAATTATAAACATATCAAAGAATTTCAAGTGAAGAAATCCTAGAAATTGTAGATTCTAATACTCTAATATCTCAAGAAATGAACTCCCAATGATTAAATGATTTAATTTGATTTAGTTATTTAAATACGATTTGTTCAGAAGGACATATTAGAAAATCGAACCTAGTTAGAAACACTGTGATTCTAACATTCCTAATACCTTAATTGCTACTAAGAAATTTTAGGCTACTAAGCAAGAAGATTCTATAATAGATTATAGTCTAAGCTATGATTTACACCTAAAAACTCTAAAATTCAATATAATCATTTTAATTGATCTGGTAGCATATATTTGGACATCCACAGGATTTTTTTGGTGGTAACAGTGTTTTTTTTTTTTTTTAAATAAATAGACTGAAAAGAGCCAACCAAATATGGGGGACAACCAGTCGACTTCATAATTGGACACTGATAAGCCAGCCAAGTGTGATAGACACATACTTCTCTATACTTCTGATTATTCTGTTTGGCACCAAGAAAAAGGAATATAGCACTTCCCATACTTTGTTTTTTCTCTCTTGATCTATCTTCCACATCAGATTATGGCTAAGAATAGCCTCATATTCTTTAAACTGAGTGTTCAGCCAATGTGGCTCCCATACTTATCATCTTTTGTTATTAACTTCTTGTTTTCTGGGCCTTCTTTTAGAGTTCAAGTGATTTGAAGGGCTTTTCCTTGTTTAATGTGGTAACTGTAGTGTGCAACTTACGGTAAGAATTCAACTAACATTTATTGAACCATCTCTGTCACCTAATACTGAGGTGATGAATCACATCTCACAGGTTTAACTATCAAATGCTGAAGGGGAAAACGTGCATCTCAACATAAAAGGCACCTTTGTTCAATGTTCCTCAAACTCTTTTGGGAAAAAAATCACCTGTTTTATTTCTAAGGCTTTCCGATTTGGAGATTAGAAGAAGCAGGTTGGAAAAACAAATGGTATAGCTGACTCTTAGTTTCTGTTTCCCAAGCCACGGCTTGGAAATGAACTGTGTCCTCTTAAAATTTGTATGTTGAAGCTGTCACATTCAATGTGATGGCATTTAGAGATGAGGCTTTTGGGAGAAAACTGAATTTAGATGAAGTTATGAGGATGTGGCAATTATGAAGGGATTGGTACCTGACACAAATAGGAAACAGAGAGTTTGTTTCCTTCCCCTACTGTATGAGGGTACAGCAAGGCCACCTACAAGCCAGGAGGATAGCCCTCCCTGGCACTGACCGTGCTGACACATTGCTCTTCAACGTCTAGTCTCCAGCATTATAAGAAAATATATTTCTATTGTTTAAGCCTCTCAGTCTGTTATGGCAGTTCAAGCTGATTAAATTAAGGACCCAAGATAATTTCAGAACTATAGTAAATGAGTAAAGTGGGATGTTACTTAAATTTAAGACTTCACACTAACTTTATTAGCAGCAAGAACAAAAATTTCTTGAGAAATTACTATACACTAATATTCTGTTAGATACTAGTAATACAAAGAAACTCCACATAATGTCCCTGCCAAAGCCTATGTGTCCAGAACACTAAAACATACTCTTTTAGAATTAATTCCAAGATTTTTTTCTCCAGTGCCGTCCCTAACCCTCTTCCCAGATCCTGATGGAGTTAAGACTCCTTATGTGTTCACAGGATGTTTTCATCAGATTTCTTACATGGTGCAAATCCTATTCAATTACAGTTATTCATATCTGCTTATTGTTTATCTAGTGAGTTCTATATTTCTCATCTGTGGCAATGCTTGATTGAACCATAAATAGTGCTTGATTCATGTTTGCTAAGTAAATGAGTCAGTTAGGAGAGCCACTCATGAAACAGTAATACATATTTTGAGTAAGTCTGTTTTGCCTTGAAACTTGGCTCTATCACTACTAGCTCTATGAACTAGAATAAGTTGCTTTATCTTGCTATGTCTGAGTTGCATTATTTATACAGTGGGATAAGTAAACTTTTGCCACAGTTTTATTTTGAGAATAAATGGGATCACCTAGGCATAACTGAAGACTATAAGCTGAACATTACTATTACTACTACAGTGTTACTATTACCATGACATTATTTAGTAGTATTAGTAGTATTAATGATATTCTAAGTCCTTAACACACACACACACACACACATACACACACACACACACACACACACACAAAGCATACTGCCTGCTTTTGAATGTTTATAATTCAATAATAGCAACAAGACAAGTATGAAATATACAGAACAAAAATAAGTATTCATTGGAGTTATCAAATTTGAGGATGAGACCTCATAAGTAACATGGTTCATAAGTGGTTAATTCTCTCTTTCTTTGTTATTTTCCATTTGATTCCCCCCCCCGCCTTTTTTTTTTTGCTAAGCAGGATTTAGACAAAGCCACTCATCAGATATAGGATTTTCCTTCTTTTTAGCAAGTGCTTATCTGAGTTGGTGAGTCACTTGATCCAAATGCATCACTGCTGATGAAATGAGCTGGCTCAGTTCACTGAGAAAAGCGAGAGAGAGAGAGAGAGAGAGAGAGAGAGAGAGAGAGAGAGAGAGCCTCTAAATGAGCCAGATTACAGAGGTCTAGGAATGACAGAGGTTGACATGAGGACAATTGACTCAACCTTAACTCTGCCACCTAAGGTACTGGGTGACTTGTGGCAAACTGTTTTCTTTTTGGGGGGCTCATTTTTCTCATTTTTAAAATTTTGAGTTTCCAACTCTGAAAAGTTTTGTGATATTTATGGTCTGGAAAGCAAGTTATTACAGTGAGAGTAGAGAGCAATCTAGCAATACTACAGACAATGAGCATGCCCTTCAGGGTTTTAGTTACATGCTCCAAACTAGGTAATTTCAATACTGCAGTGTCTTGCCTGCATTTGCTTTTCTCAGACAATTGCCAAGAAGTCCCCACTACTGGGGTATGCTCAGTACCCTAAACTTCAGGCTCACAGATAGTGCTGGGCAGCATTGACTGAGGCCTCCACCACAGTGGGCATTACCACTCCTGGAAGATGAGGCTAGGCTGTTCTCAGAAGGCAACTGATGGCTGGTGTGTCACATGAAAAAAAACGCAGTAGCAGACTTGTACCTGTCACATCTCCAGGTCTTGTAAACTAAGGGCTTTGCTCACTTGCACTGTATAGGAAACTCATCTTCCAGAGACTCACTATTTACTGGCAGATGTCATCTAGCTTTGTCTGCCCCCATGGCTGTTAGTGGAGTTTTTACATAGTCTGCGTGGTGGCTTTTCAAAACCAAAATGAGCAGAAAAGGACATTAAACCAACACAGTATTTTATCTATCTATGGTATTTTATTTTACCAGTTGTTATGCTTGTCCTCATCCTCTACTGACTCACACTGTGTATTATAGCTACCCATAAGTTTATCTTATTTTTACTATGAGACTTTGAATTCTTGAAGGTGAGGAATACAATCTGGAATGTTTAAGGTTAACAGAGCCTAGTTGATAGCGTTGCATAGAAAGATTCACTGAACGAAACATTTTTTAAAAAATGCCTGCAGAACCCCCAAGTTATCTTGGATAGCAGAAAACTGTTCTTACATGCTGAATCTTTCACATAAGGGAGCTGAATTCTTAGAATAATTAATGGAGTCAGTGTTGAGTAAGATACACTTGATGGTCACCCAAATAATGCTCAAGAAACATGAATTTTTAATTGTTTTGCAAATACCTTGTCCATCTCCCCCCCCCTGCCAAAGCTGCTTTTCCAGGCTCATCAAATGTCCCTGCACATTTAACACTTTCAAGCAGGCTTAGCACAGCAGCTTTTATTGTATATTTTGCATCACCACCTGGTACATACTGTACGTTTAGCAATGTGCCTGGCTGAGTTGCTAATCAACACAAGTATTCTCCTGGGAAAAATGTGTTTTTAGTTACTGAGAATTTGCATTTTCTACTAATAGAGGCTCCATAACTGTGACAAGTTAATAAATTATGCATGGTGAAAAGTATTAGTTGCTTATTAGTCATGCTGCTAAATGTATGATTGGCTGCACAAAAACTAGAAAAGTTATAATTAATAAGTTTTCAAGGCTGTTTCTAGGATTTAATAATATAATGAATCTTGAGGTTGATGAGTCAAATAACTTGATCCAAAATATTGAAATAATTTAAATCCAAGAAATTTATGAAATACATTTTTCCCAAAATGATTAAAGTATTAAGATTAAAAAGTATATTAAAACTGCTGTTCTTAAAGTTTTCTTTCTTTTGTGTGAAAACAAATGGTTATCTAAAAAAGCTGGTTAAGATTAAAGGAATTGATTAAGATTAGTATGACAGCCTCATGTGACAACATTTTAGAAATGAAACCTCACTTTGGCCATATATTTAAGTACTGCTTTTCCAGAGGTTTTGTGTGAGTGGTTTGGGTTGAAGTAGAAGGCTATTACTTTGACTTAACATCTGTGTAGACAGATTATTGCTGTAGTTTGAAATGTGACTCTTCCCCAAAAGGCTCATGTGTTTAACGGCTGGGCCTTCAGTGTGTGCTGCTGCTGAGTGGTGATGGAACCTTTAAAAGGTGTACGCTGCCCTATTTGGAAAAAGTTAGGTCATTGAAGACATGTGCTTGAAGATGATAGTGGAACCCTGCTCCTTCTTGCATCTCTGCCTTTGCATTTTGGCTGCCATGAAGTGAACAGCCCCCCTCTATGCCATGTGCTTCTGCCTCGATGGACTATGCCACCAAAGAAGCTAAGTAACAGAAATGAGTCAAGATAAACCTTTCTCTCTTTTAAGCTGATTATCTCAGGTATTTTGTCACAGTAATGGAAAACTGTTATAGCCATGTTTGATGTTTTATCTCCACCATACTGTGCATCCTTCTGTAATTTCCTGGAGCACTCACTATCTTCTTTTAACATGTAGTCCAGGGAAGGGAATTTTGCCATTTCTATTGCAAATGATGAGCCAAGATAATCATCGATTCTGGAAGAGGCCATGGGGATCAAGAATACTGAAATATGAGCATCACCTTTCTTTCCTGAAAACATCTAATTCTAACATTTATTCCTGTGTGTGTTTGAGACCTCAGTGGGGAGCTCTTTAGATGATCATGGTACATCTTAGAAACTTGGATTCTTGTTTGTTCTTCGAATCATCAGAACCAAGTTTCAGGAAGCTTGCTCACAGTCTAACTCATAACTCTTATGTAATCACTTTGCAGACATCTTATCTATATGCCTTCCTTGTATTTCTGGATTTCCTTTGTTGAATTTTAAGTCTGTGGCTATTTATGCTTTGCTTTTCTGAGTGTACAGAGAGCTATAACTATGTTTTGACTAACAGTGAATCAGCAAACTGAGTTTTAGACTTTCCAATAGGTCTTTTCAGTTTATCTCTCTATCACCAAGCAGTTTTTGAAAACTATAATCATAGGGTCAGAGGCATCTTGAAATGCAGGTAGTTTGATTTCATCATCTTACCAGATAAGGAAAGTAATCCACAAGGAGAATTCAAATGACTATTGAAAATTATACCACTAGCTCTTCTGGTTTCCAGTAAATTATTTTTATTGGTTTTGCTATCCAATAGATTCCTATATTATTTTTGTGAGACATTTGAAACATAAGGTAGTTTAGAGTATTATATAAGGCCTAAAACTGAGCAAAAGTTTAAATATAAACTTTGCACAGTGTACGTCAAAAAAGTCAGCTTTATATTTTCAGAAGAGATGATCTATCCCTGAGGCAGGGGCATAACTGTCTTTATCCTTAGTAATACGGGGACTTGAGGAGTGAGGCCGCTTACTCTAGGTACAAAACCAAGCGTTGCCTACCATGTGTGTTTGGGAATAAGGAATTTAAAGAGCTCTTATATGATAGGGGCATGTAGTACAGGCTCACTGTACAGTATTTTTGTTCTAAACCCTTGCCAAATGGTACATTTATTGAATATCTTGATTGACATTCTGGTTTTTAAAAAGCTTCTTTGCTCATTTTGTCTTTAGACTTACATTTCCAACACAGGCTACTTTCTTGATGCTTGTTTGTCTGTGTGTCTGTTTTGTTTATCTGCATCTTTCAAGCCTGTGTGTCATGGATCTCTTGGAAGATGACCCTGGTCTCCTTGAGAGGCCTTGGTGCTCCTTTTCTCCCTCACCTCCAGCCAGATCTTTTCCCATCATTAAAAGGAATTTGCTTTTGGGTGTTTAATCAACACCTGATGATTTCTGTTTGCTCCTGTTCTCATCTAAATTCCCTCTTCCTAACTCCTTTGTAACTGTCAACACAATTGCTCTTCCCCACCTTACACACTTAGAGCTGGTGTATCTCTTTTACTAATATCCAGTATTATTCTATCCCCAAGTCTTATGACTCATTCACTTATGACATCTTTATCTTTATTGATGCTGATGATCAAACTCAGGGTTATTCTTAGGCTAAATTTGCCCTCTATTATGGATCTACACCCGTAGTACCATTTCCAATATCCTCAGAGCTTGGGTGTTTTCTTTTTTCTGTGATTCCTACAATAAGTCAGGCCTCTCACATATCATGTCCATGAGCCTTCTAACTGTAGTCACAAATTTATTTATTCCAACCACCCTCCTGCATCTACCATAGTTGTTTTGCCCATGTGTTTCAAATCCATTGGATTAATATTTATTGAGAACCTATTATGTGCCAGGTATATGTTATCTCAGTTAATCTCAAATACTACCAGTTGAAATGTTTTTATCGTTAGTATTATTATCAGGAAACATACATTGATCACTTACTATGCATGACACTCACTAATTACTATAATGATCTTATGAGAAGGTACTATTATGAACTCCATTTACAGATGAGATTGAAGATTTAGAGAGGAAGTAATATCCTTACCATACAACTAGGAATTGAGCCCACTGTTGGAGCCATCACAATATATCAACTTTCCAAACTGAGGCAGACTTGGCATGTCAAAGACTATTTCAGATTTTTACCCTTTTCCTGAAACTTCTTATGGTCTCATCCTTCTCCTAACTGTCTCTCAGAAGATGACCTCCTTTCCCACTTTCTTCCTACGTATTATCCCTTGAAGGTCCGTAGTCATCAGGATTTTCTCATGGATCCTTCTTTGTATGGACTCTAAACCATTGGCCCTTCACCATTTTGGTTATGGAGTCCTTTTCAGTATTTGAGAAAATTTTGAAATTTCTCTTCAAAAAAATGAACAAAAGTATTTAAATGTCCTTCCTTTAAAGCACAGGCACATGTGCTCTTCCACATAGAAATAAGTTCTAGATGGATTAAAACTCTAGAGGGAAAAGTGAACAGAACAAACAGTAAAATACAAGAAAATTTACTTCTCACACTGTTGGGTTGAGGAAAGCTTTTCTAAGTGTGCTGTCAATTCCAGAATCCGCAATGAAAGGACCAGACAGGTTTGATTTGTACAAAGTTTTAAATTCCATGCAGGGGTATTCCTAGCAGTAACATTCAAGGAGAGCACTGTTTGCAAAGCAGAAAATCCTTCTGTAGCATTAACTCTTTTCTTACCTCCGGTGATAATCACATTTGCTTTCACACAGTAACAAAAAGTATTAGCTCCTTTGGGCATGGCAAACTCTCTGACAGGCCTGGAAAACAAAAGTTAGATGTAGAATGTATATATTTTTCTTTATAAAGCTAATTCCAACTTCTAAAGGGAGTATACTCAGCAAGCTCAATTCTAAATTGCTTGTAAATCCACTTGTCCAGAGAAACATAAATAACGGTGAAGTCCTCACAGACCCACAGGATCTACTTGATTTTTGCTGTGGTGTGGATAAGTGTCCTCCAGAGGTGGAAAGACTTGTTCCCCAGCCCATGGGGCTGTCAGGAGGTGGGGGAATCTTTTAAAAAATGAAGTCTACTGGCTGCTCTGAGATGAATTGTTTGTGCTCCCCATCCCGATGTGCTGCCTGGCCACAGGACCAAAGGCAATAGGATCACCTAATCCTGGACTCCAAAACACTAAACTAAAACAATTCTCTTTTTAAATTGATTTACCAGGTATTTATTATAGTAAATAAAAATGAACTTACCCATATTTGAAAATATAAAATCTATTCTTGATTTGCTGATGTTATAGAAACTGCAGCTTATTGGATTTGGCTGTGAGGCCATTTTTGGTTAATCGCTGCATAAGATGGCAGAACATAAAGCCCAAACCAGTGCAGGGCCACAACAGTTCTACCTTATCTCCTCAGACTTTGATTTCTGTTTTTTTCCAATACTTTTCAGTATATTTCTTAGCTCTTAGTGAACAAACAAAAGGAACAGCCAGGAATAGTGGTGCATGCCTGTAATCCCAGCACTCAGAAGGCTGAGGCAGGAAGATTACTGCAAGTTGAAGGCCAGTCTAGGCTATGTAGTGAGTTCAAGACTAGCCTGAACTGTATAACAAGATCTTGTCTCAAAAACAAAACAAAACAAAACAAAACAACCAAGCTAAAAGGTCTAATACATACTGAGTAGAATTTGTGCCAGGCATTAAAACCAGGCACTTTTCATGAGTTAAGTAATTTTGTAAGACTATCAAGTAGGCATATTCATTTCCATTCTCAGGTGGAAAAACTGAAGCTGTGGAAAGCTGACAGTAATGTGTTCGCGGTCGCAGAGGTGTTGAGCACTAGGATAGAAACCAGGCTATCTAACCTTAGGGGAGGGTGCTGCTGTTTTCAATATGATAATTTGCTTGGAAGATGGGTGTAACTAGTAATTGTGATGTAACTATAACTTAGTTGTTTATCTCTTGGAAACTGTCAAGCTACCAAAGGGTTAAATGTTTAGTTGATGGCTGACAACAGTCCTCCATGGTCTATGTGGCATAATCAATCACAGACATTTCTCTTCTTGCTGGTACAAAATTCCAATGCTGAAATTTCCGTACAAAATTATAAGCAGAACAGTAATCATTTCTGACATGTAAATTTTTTGAGAGAATTTTGTTTCCTGCCTCTTTGGACGCTGTGCTGGTTCCTATTTTAACAGCTGGCCAATTACGTGTTTGTCTAAATGCAGCTTCATCCGGCCCAACTTAAGACTCATTACAGGAAATTGCAGAAATAGGAAGACATTGAATGGAGGGAACCCAACTCTCATGCTGTTGAGCTGATTCTCTAGTGGCTGGGATGGTTCAGGAAAAACACGATTCCACTGGATCACTTGAGAAACCTCTTTAGCCTTTAGATTTGGAAGACAGAGGCCCAGAGGAGGAAGTAGCTGAAAAACTCAGCCAGAATCTGAACAGATCAGTGATCACTATTTGCTGAGGTTACCTCAGTATTTTTATCTCAGTTTCCTGGCTCTCAGCAACTAAATTCCAAGAGATAGGAAGCCCAGAATTTGTCTTGCAGATAAATTCCTGACTATTGCAAAATAGATATTCTGAAGTAAAGACTAAAATGCTCTGGTTAGTTAGAAGCTTAAAGTTTCTATATAATCTAGTTATTTACAACTCCTAAGTAACAAACCTATGAAGCAATATAAAGAGTAGGAATTTAAATTTCCTACAATGTCATTACATAAATTAAAAATACTGGGCCAGGGATTTAGCTCAGCGGCATAAGCTCTTGCAAGGCTGTGAGTTTAATTCCTGGTACCAAAACAACAACAACAAAAGACATAAATTAAAAATACATTGAAACACACATTTTGAAGAAACACAAAAATGTGTTAAACTCACAGATTGATTGCCTCTGTGTGTGTGTGTGTCTGCGTGTGCTTATGTGAATGGAAGGTGTGAAAGGATAAAAATAAAATAAGAGAGTGTGAGCGTGTGATTAGTTATCTCTGCTTTTGAGATTTCCTCACTAGAAAAAAAATTTAATGTGCCAATATTGTGCTTGTTCCATAGTATATTTTTCCCTGACAAAAAGAAATTATCTAGACTGAAGGAGGTTTACAAAAAGAGAAAATAAGAAATAAAGTATATATACCTCACTTAAAACTTAACCTGAAGGGCTGGAGATTTAGCTCAGCGGCATAAGCGCCTGCCTTGCAAGCAGGCAGTTGTGAGTTCAATCCCTGGTACCGATAAAAAGGAAACAAACAAACAAAAAAAACCTTAACCTGAAAATTCACAATTTGACTGGAAGTCAGATCCTAATATTTGGAAAAAGGGAATACTGCCACTATCATCTCTTCCTAAAGGAAAATACAATTCATTTCCTTCCCTTCAAAGTTGTAACATTTACTATTAACATGGATTTTGACAATACATGGAAATAAAAATCTTTAAAAATCCATTCTTCGTGAAAGAGTTTAAGTGCTTTCAACTGCTATAGGATTTTATAGTTTTGGAAACAGCAGCACCCATCTTAGGTTATTTGATAATCACCAGAATTCTGTGGGATATGAAAGCTTAGAGTATTTTCATTCATAAACGATGGTTAAGGTCTCTAAAACTTAAGTAACATATCTAATACCAGGGGTTAGTAGTAGAAATGACATTAGAACTCATTTGCTTAGCACAAATTTCTTCGTGCACTCATAGTCTTAGTAAATAGTGCCATGTAAACAGTTCTTGAAAATGGAAGCATGGCAGTCACCTGAGGCACAAGCGTCCTTTTTCTAGATCGTTGCCTGAGCAGATGGTCATCTCATGCAGATGTATGCTCAAACATTGTCTCCTCACAGCAGACTCTCCTGACTGTCCTATCCAAAATACTGCCTCTTACCATTCTCCATCTCTAACCTCTCCTACATTATTTCCATCATTTGCTCACCTAAATTTATGTTATTTACTTATGTGTTTGTTATCTATCTCTCCTACCTGAGCTCAGTGAGAACTGAGAATGTCTGCTGCATACCATGACATCACTATAGTTTGGGGTCTGTAATAAGCATGCTGTAAATATGTTTGAGAATAAAAAAGTCAAACAAACCCCTCTCAACTATTCCTCTTTCCACGAGTTCCTCAATTCTTGCAAATTATACAAGAATCTGTCTTCCCTGCATCCCTACTATCACTGGTTAAGTTCAAATGCTCATTTTTCCTCCAAATTCTGCCATATCTTCTTCTCAACTGGTTTCCTTTTCTACTTGCATTTCCTCAGACTAGTCTCTAATTTGCTGCTAGGGTGATCTGTCAAAAGAACATTTTCATCACTTTCCTTTATAAAATATTCAATGGTTTCCTCCACACTCCAGATTAAAATGCCAGCTTTATAGAAAGCATATAACTCGTTTCGGCCTTTTTTAGCTTCGTCTTTCCCCACTCTTCTCCCCTGACACGCCAATAACACCAAACCATTTACAGTTTCTAGAACTCACCATCTTCTTCTTCCTTCCGTACTTTGCAAATGCCAGTTTTATTAAAATTATTAAATTATTATTATTAAATATTAAAAATTAGGAGAAATTGAGATATCAAGATGCTGGAGAGGAGAGACAAAACTAAGGGTACTAAGACTTGATAAGACTTGATACTTCAACCTGTGTAACAAAAAGAGAAGAAGTAAAGCCTTGACCCTAGGCTCTGCCCAGCAAAAGGGATAGAGGTTTTCTCACTGGTGCAGTGTGCAGACAGGGATGGAAGGCCAAGAAGAACACTGGGGAGACAAGAGCTCAGATGACAAACAGGGTCCAAGTGGTAACGAGGAAAGAAGGTCAAGGCAAAGACTGATGAGATGCAAGATAAAAGAAAGGTCAAGTGTCACACTTGGAGATCCTTGAGTTTGGTGCACTGGGAGTTAGAGTCTTCTAGAACTGATAGGAAAGGCACAGAGATCAGAAGAAAGATTTTAGAGTTTCTAAACAAATAAATTCCAGGTCCTGTGAGTAAGGACCTGTCAATATTGTTCAGAATAATCTCTTGATTTCTTTTATAATGTTAGCATTGGTATCACGCAACTGAACTTATAAAGGAAAGACTATGAAGGAAGAAAAAAGCCATTTCAACCTCCTAAATGCAAGCTTAGTATGTTTAGCAGCTGTAACTTTTCTTAATGAAATCACTGCTAAATATTTTCTTTATTCTCCTTGTAAGATTTCTTGTTCTTATTTCTCTGGCTTACAGGGGACTATCACTTAACACACCCTTTCCTGAATTTCTTCTGTGTCTAAAATTTTAAACTTTTCAAAAGGTCTTTAACACCCTGCTTTGCATTGTTAATTATCACTCTCTGTGTTGGTGTGTTGGTAAATGTTTCATATTTTGTTGAGGTGAGGAAATGGGGAGGGTCGATGATCCCTGGTGTTTGCTGTTTTCCATGAAATAGTTACTCCTCCCCAGGCAATTTCAGACTCCCACGGTGACACCTCTGAACATGGAGATGAGAAAATATATATACCTGTGCAACTTATCTAGTATTTATGTATTCCACAGATACAAAAAACCCTGAGAAATAAATGATAGCAAATTATAGTTAAATAAATAAAGAATTGATGGGTTTGAGTATTTATTGCCTTTGTTTTTTTAACTATAACTGACTTGTGAATTTATGCAACTTAATTTTAGTAGTAATTGTAGTGTTTAACAACAGATTTGCCAAATTCCTGAAATTAACTCTCATATATGAACTCACATGATCTGGCTCTGGCATACCATTTATATATTATCTATAGTTCTTGCTTTCCTATTTAGACTTTTGAGCATTTAGAGGTAAGGTAATAACTTAACTGTATTAATAAATGTTTGTTGAGTAACTGATTTGTTTCTGGATTAAAGTTAAATTGTATGACTATTACTAGTTTCTAGTTGTCATATTATTTATTAAAATTATCTACTCAATTTACTGCAAGTATTTTCCAGGTAAAAGCATGGCTTTAGATTTGTATATCTTGGAAATGAAAACTATTTATCTAAATCTTGAAGTAGAATATGTGACTACAAGGGCATATTATACTTGCATGTGCTTTCACAATGTTTTGTGGTTATGAATGTATTAAGAATTATCACCATAGTATAAAATCAAATTAGATATAAAGATGCTCTATTTCTTAAGTAAATTTCATTTATATCTTTATAATTAATTGGTGTATTGAGACTAGTGTCAGTTAAAGTGATTATTGATAGAATCAGATTAACATTTACTTGGTTATTCTTTTTTATTCTTTGTCCTTGTTTGTTCCTACTTTTATCTCACACTCTTTTTCTTCCTTTTGTAGTTGCAATTGAACATTTTATTTAATTCTATTTTCTCTGCCCTTCTGAATATCAATTCTCCTCCTCTTCTTTCTTCTTTTAACTTTTTAAAAGTAGTTGTTCTAGAGTTTATAATAAATATTTTCGACTAATCTGAAAATCCATTTTTCAAAAAACACTATACAACTTCACTAGGAAGGCAAGTGCTTTATAAAAACAAATCAATAGGGGCTGGGGATTTAGCTCAGCGGCATAAGCACCTGCCTTGCAAGCGTATGGTTGTGAGTTTGATCCCTGGTACTGGTAAAAATACAAAAAAAAAAAAAAAAAAAAAAAAAAGAAAGAAAGAAAAAAAATCAATAGGAATTCTATTCTCTAGTACCTTGTTTATTGCTCTCATAATTATTTTATTATGAATAATTATACATATGTATATATCATTAAAGACATCCTTGATATTATTTTGAACAAACTGTTACCCATTGGATCAGTTAAGAATAATAAGAATAAGTTATTTTACCTTCACTTTTTCTTTTTTTGATGCTCTTTTTAATGTAAATACAAATTTCTCATTTATATCATTTTTCTTCTAAGAACTTCTCTTTATATTTCTTGCAAGTTTTAACTTGCATTTCTCTAATGGCCAGAGTTGTTGAACATTTTATTTTATTTTATTTTTGTTGAACATTTTACAGTTGTTGAAAAATTTGTTTATCTGAGAAAATTTTATTTCTTCTTCATTTCTGAAGTGTAATTTTGATTTTAAAAAACTTTTATTTTCAGGAAAAAAGCAGATAAACAAACAATGAAAACAAGTTTTAAAACAGGGTAGTAGGATAGTTACAATACTTGATACATTGCATATTGGTGTCTTGTAGTAGCTATTCAGAGTATAGGACATAGACATGATATCTTGTCTAAACAATGTTAGCGCAAAACATTCTTTTCAAGGACAAACAGAAGCTAGCCGTGTAACTACCTGAACTATCTTGCATATACATATATTTTTTCCTTTCACCCATTCATCCTTTCCCCATCACAGTTTTTTTTTCTTTTGAACAGTATCTTCCCAATTCACAATATCTACTGTACATTTTTTTATTTTAAAGAGAATAAAAACCAGAAAACTCAACATGCAAACAAATCTAAAGAACAACAACAAAAGCAAAATGACAACAACAAGAAAAACAAAAATAATGATATAGGTTGTCAAAGCAAGATGATAGGAATTTAACAATGATTGTTATACTGCATATTGTTACCTTCAAAATAGTTGGTCAGGTTATCAGATACAGAAATAAAACAAAACGGTTAAATGGAACAAAACATTGAATTTCAAAAACAAGACGAAAAGAAATTCCCTACTGGTGCCACAATGCACACTGCCATCCTTCAAATAGATGCTCAGACCAGCAGCCCCAACCCTGCAAAGTCAACCAAAGGACACAAGCATCAAGCTATTCCTTTCAGCTCAGTTGCTATCATCTCACCCTAAGTCCTCGAATCATCCAGTTGCTCACAGGAAGGGGTGGAGTATGCTTTTCTGGTTTCCCAGACCGAGTACTGGCTGGCTCACTTCTAGAATGGTTGGTTTTTTCCCTCCTCAACACTAAATATTTCACATGAATTTCTTGCTTAAAGAAATCAGATAAAATTCTTATCCCTTTTTTCTCTAGATAAGGTATTTTTCTCTTCTGTATTCATTCAAGATTTTTCTTTATCTTTTATTTTCTGAATTGTGAGCTTTCGAAGTGCTTCTCATTTTTGCCCGAAGTTGGGCCTGGATGCCTACAGTGGGCTGGAGCTGAGTCCTTCTTTTTCTTCAGGTTCGCTCCTCTGAAAATAGTTCAGGCTCTGGGAATGTAGTTTCTCTGGTGGGCAGGCCTTGTTAAGAACAGAATGCTCTTTCAAAATAATTCCTTTTTTCATCTCCTTGCCAGAAGTGTAAGGAGACTTTTATCCAGTATTTATTGTGAAAATCTGGTTGAGTTTCTAGAGGTGAAAGCCACAAAAATGTGGAGACTCTCAAGTTTTTCTGTCTTAGTACTAGGGATGGATCCCGGTGCCTTTACACTGAGCTTCATCACCAGGCTTATTTTTCTTTTTCTTTGAGAAAGGGTCTTGCTAAATTGCTGCATTATTCAAATTGAACTCTGATTCACAATCCTATCTCAGCCTCCCAGAGTGCTAGGATTACAACACCGTGCAGCCGTGCCTGGGTTCAAGGTTTTGACTGTCACAGTTGTCCATCCTGACTACCTAGGAACTTGTCAATGACAGTTTAGGTCTGATATTGCTTGCTGTGGGGGTTTCTGCTCATGGATTGCTGCTCTAGTAAATGGTCACTATCTGCTTCCCTCTCTCTCTAGTTGGAAGGCAGAAAATTTTCTCTGTGACTTCCTGCAGCCAACTTATAGAAAAAAATTGTCATTTCAATTTGTTCAGTTTCTTGCTTGCTACTAGAAGGGAGTGACAACTTCCAAGCTTCTCACACGCCAGACTGGAAACCAAAAATCTTAATGTATTTTTCTAAGGTATCTTTGTTGAGGTATAATTTACGTACCATAAAAGTCACCATTTATAAAAGTGGGTAATTCACTGCAAACTTGTGTAATTACCACAAAAGTTTTGGAGCCATACATTCCACCACTCCAGAAAATTTCCCTGGTACCCTTTTGGGATTCTTGTTGATACCACCAACTCTAGGCAACTGATGATCTATTTTCCTGTTTCCATAAATTTGCCATTTTGGACATATCCTAACAGTAGATTCATACAGCATACTGTCTTTTTCATCATCTTTCTATAACAATATTTTTGAAATTTACTCACTGTAACATAAATCTTAAGAAATTTTAAAAACTAAAAATTAAATTGCAATAGCTGCTTTTTAGTCATTAATAAAATTTCACCACATTTAAAGTGAGTTAGCACATTACTAAAATTCATCTTTAAAATGTGATTGTAATAGACACACAAATCATACTCACAGACTAGTCAAAACAATGATTTTAAAGTATAGAGTTTGAACAACAGAACAATATTTGGAATAAATCTGGACATGTCTGTAATGATTTATTCCACTAGAGTAGAGGAATAAAATAAAAATTGAACAAAATTGCTATAGGGAGGACACATCATATTTGCTTTGCATGAGTGACTTCAGTTTCCTCCTGAAGATTCAATTAACCTTGTCAAGCAAATGGAATGGTTAACATTTAACATCTGATTTTTCTGAAAAGCAGATTGAAATTTCCAAGGCTTGCTATAAAATTCTGAGGGTCACAGAATGTTCATGAATATACATTGTTGTACTTACAAATTGTCCTCTAGTCTCTTCAAGGATTCAAAAACTAGTGAATGAACACTGTCCAAGGAGCAGGACCCAAAGCAGTTTAGGGATGGAATATATCTAACTCTCATAACCCAGTCATTATGCAGCTTCCTTTTAACACTAAGAATGAAAAAACATGGGGTGTTTTGTTAGACACAGAAACATATAATATTAAAAAATTATTTCCTAACACACACACATTATATATATGTGCTTATACAAATGGACTGTTCACCTAGAAATATAATTTTTCACTATTCTATCATAAACATTTTTCATATTAAATATATTACAAAATATAATTTAAGGGGTATAAGAAACTATTTAATATGGTTATAGTTTAATTATTGAACATCTTTGATGCCATAAATATTTTTCAGGAACACAAAGAAAAATGTATTTTATGACACTGATGTGCTGCCTACTATGCTAGGGAAGCACGTAAGAAAGATATATTTTATACATGTATATATTACATACATATGACATGTTTATAAAATAGGTAAATATTCATTTATAGAATTTATAACATGCCTATATATCTGAATTACTTATATAAATAATTAATCATTTAAGTTAGTTACTGTTGGGCACTATTATTTACCATTAGCAATGTAGCTGTTTCAACCATACTTATAATTTGGAATACACAGGCATTCCAGATCCCAAAGCATTATGAAGATGTGTGGTGCATCTTCCTCAGTTGCCTTCTGGAAAGGTTCATCTGACTCAATTTTCTACCACCAACAGTGTGCAGAATGCCTATCTCACAGTGTCTTCTTAGTTATAATCTTTTTCAATTTTATAAGGAAAAAATGGTATCTGATTTTAAGTTGTACTCCTTGGTTAACAGGGAAGTGGAACTTAGTATAAAGTTTATGTTTCTCTACTAACAAAAAATACTATATACGTATCTTTAAAAACTTTTAAGATGGGCCAGGGATTTAGCTCAGCGGCACTTGGTCATGAGTTTGATCCCGGTACCAAAACAAACAAAAAAAAATTTAAAGATGCTGAAATTAAAAGGAAGACAGTCATATCAACCTTGACCTCATTACTTGGCCATACTGTTAGTGTTTGTGTCTGGTGATCACTTTGGAATGTTTACTGACATTTTGTTTGTACTATTGGTGCATGTGTGTGACTTAATCCGTTTGTGGCCTTTGTTCATTATTCCCTTGGGGAGTTATTGCTTTTTAATTCAATTCTAAGACATATAAAAAAAACTAAGACCGATAAATGTTGTCTGTAGTATTTGTGGTAGACATTCATTTCAGTTTGTTATTTACTTATTAAATGGATATATTGAGGTTCAAATGGTTTTTGTTGGTATATGGTCAGATCTATCAAAATTTTCCTTTGAATTCTGTATCCATTGCTTTTATGTTTAAAATCTCCTTATATTCAAGTGCTAGTAAACAGTCACACATATAGCTTTTAAGGATTTAATTAAACTCTTCAACCTATTCAAATATGTGGAGGTTTTATTTGCCAGTAGAACTTTAAAAAAGGAATTTCAATGTCTCATTTTCCTGTCCATCTTCCCTCTTATACTGAAAGGTTCTTGAGACAAAGAACATTTCTTGCACAGATTCGACTCTCAAATCTCCAGCATAAGATCTTGCATCTTCTTTCTGCCCTAAATAATATGAAATAAATAATGACTATGATTATTAAAGCAAGTGGACCATTCTTACCTTTTAAAGTTCTTTGAGTCTAAGATCTGACTTTGCAGTTTCTTTTTGATTTTTGATTGCTTTAGTCCAAAGTCATCACTATTCATTGTGAATTTGCTCACAAAACCACCATCATCCCCCAGGAGGATATCTTCTCGGCACAGCTGGTCAGGCAGAGGCACCACACACACACACAAAAGGCAGTGATCCATGGGCTTGATGACAAAATAGTTTTCCTAGAAATAGATGAATGTTTTAATGAGTTATTATATTGCTCCAATTAATAAATATTGTCAGGGCTATGGGTGTAGCTCATGGTAGAGCGTGTGTTTAGCATGCATGAGGCCTTGGTTCAATTACTAGCCAACAAAATGAAATAAAATAAAATAAAGTATTTCCTATTGGTGTTTCTTATTTTTGATACTCTCACAGTGATAAAAGGACTTTTAAAAAATAGCAAAATTAACAAACAATAAATATGTAAGCAAAAGTTAATGAATATGCACTATGAACCCAACGTGGTGTTTTACGTACTTCTAGCTCAGTAAGTAATGAGATTTTATGATGCATTACTGTGAATGGCCTTTTCTTGGATTTGTAAGCAAATATTAACAAGGACTATGGAAAGGTTCAGGTGTTATCAGGTCATTGACATAAAACTAGGTGGTTAAAAAAACCAAGAAAATCGAGTTTCAAAGTCCCATGTATTATATAAAGTATAATCAGGAAAAAGTTCCTAATATTCAGATTTATCCACAAAAATTCAACATGCATTTGTGAAGCATTTGTACTATTGAATGCATTCACCAAATTATGTAACCATTTGCTCTTCTAGTTCTTCTATGTCTCTAAGATAGAAGAAAAATATTTTTTAAAAATTTTGGTATATGTCCTATTTGCACTAGCATGAGTAGGAGCTGAACATATTCAGAAGTTCAGTCATTCCACAAATATTTACTGAGCTTCTATTATGTGCCAAGGATTATTCTGAGTGTGGATGAACCGTAATGAACGAGACAGTTTTTGAGTCTGTGGAGCTACCATGCTCGTGGGGAAGACAGCAGAATAGAATCAGTCATATAACAGGACATGCACTGGGGGAAGTGAATCAGTTTGTATAAAGTGCAGAAGCCACTTGGTGTCCACGACCTTTGATCTGGGACCTCAATAATGGAGAGAAAGACAAAGAGGAGATTGCGAGGATGCTGATAAAAATGAAAAAGACAAAAAAAAAAAAAAAAAAGAAAAAAAGAAAAAAAAAAGAAAGAAACCCTAAAAGGAGACGAATGTCAGAAAGACAGAAAGAGAAGACACTGTGGAGTGTAGTCCTCTCCCAAGACAGGGGGAGAAAGCGGTGTCACATGCAAAGATTTTCCTGGGGGGGGGGGGGGGCTGGACTTTGATAGAGGATAAGCCACAGCATCAGTCTTCTCCGGAAAACAAGGGCGGTTTCATATGCTGAGAGGAGAGGTGGAGAAGGGTATGACATTTAGGAAGACTTGCAAGCAGGGAGAGTGAGCCGCAAGGAGGTGCGCAGATGGGCGGAGCCGCAGGGAGCAGGGCTGAGTGTGCAGACCTGGCTTTGTAAAGACGCCAGCCTGGGTGGCTTGTGCTTTCCTAGCAGTGCTCTGCCCCTGTGAAAGGCAGAGGGGGCTGTAGCATCTGCGCAGGTTGAAAGGTGGATTGGAAAGCGCAGAGCTGAGGGCCACAATCCCAGATGACCCTCTTGGGGTGGAGGCAGGAAGGGAAGTGGAAGAGGTTCCAGGAGATGGGAGAGAGCCTTCGAGAAATCACAAGCTTGAAAAAGCAACAGTGAATACAGGACAGCTTGAGGGAGAAACGATGATCAAAGACCAGACTGAAGTTGAGGGTTTCAGAAATTCATAAACCCTCGTGTAAAATGTCACGAGATGATAACACGGTGTGTAATAAAGCGCACCAAACAACAGATTACAGTCTTTGACATCATTTGACATCAGTAGTTGGTTAATTGTTGACAAATTGCACTAAAACTTTGGTTTCTTACAGATGCTAGGAACAAGTAAACTTCAGAGATTAGACTGTTTCTTAAACTCCCATGCCCTTCACGGTCAGCCTGTTTCTGAGGATTTTTGTATCCCTACTGCTCACCAATCTCACCTCTTCCCCAACCCCTATTGTACTTGCTCCTTTTTTAATAGCATAACTTGATGATCCATTACATTGTGTGCTATGTTTATTCATGAAGTCCTTCAGGACTGAATGGTTTTTGAGTGCAAAGAAAATGTTCATTACTTTCAAATGTCTGCAGAATCTGAAGACCCACTAGACTGGCTAACTGGTGACCTCTTAGATGTCTTATTGAACTTTTGGAGTAATTTTGGCACATTAGTAATTTTCTTTATCTAATAAAACTGGACAGGAGATAAAGACTTTGAACTTGATAACATAAGCTTGATAACAGAAAGATAACATTTAGATGATTAAGAAGTGATTTGTATATGTACCAATTTCTCTGGATGGATGTAATTATCATGTATACCAAACAAATACTAATAAAAAAAAAAAAAGATGACTTGCTCTCTCCCTCTCCAAATCAAAACAAAACCCTGAATGAAATGTATAGTAAATCAGAAAAACATTCCCTTTTCATTACAGAATATGAGGGCTGAGCTTGACTTAAGGGATTATTTAGTTAAATTCCTTTGTTTTCTATGTGAGGGGACATAGAAGAAAGTAGACTGTTCATTCCCTTTACCAGCTCTGGAAAGACAGTCTCATTTCTTTTGAGTATTTCTCTTAGCACAGTACCTGACTGCCCCCTTGAGCTTTATAATCCCAGACAATGACGGTCCTTTCTGTAGTGGCCACAATTCGTTTCAGCTGGGAGAGGTAATCACATCCAGTAATCCAGGAGGTATCCTGCCAGAAACGCATAAGAATTGAAGTTATAATACCTTTGCTTTTTAGCATAGTGGTGGGTACTAAGGGCAGGTTATGGACATTGAAAGTTCCACTGTGCAGAGAAACCTTGCATTCCATCTGAATGGCGTCAGGAAAGCTTCACCTCTGCATCCCTTTCACCAGCACCCTGAATTGTTCAGTACCATCAGCCGGAGACTGACTGACTCAGCAAGCAGAGCAACTGCTCCCTGATGCACGTGGCAGCTGGCAGAGATGCAGAGTTTCACCTTAGTCACTTCTGGAGGTTACTTACTTCTTTCCCTGGGCACAGAGAGACCAGTAGGTTCAGGACAGTGATAAGTGTTCTCTGGCCCTGCTGCATGCTATAACTTTTAACTGGCAAAGAGCTTAGTAATCATGTAATCAATCATAAATTGAGGCCATGAAGTTTGTCCTGTATCTAAAGTCACCAAGCTGGCACAGACAGACTCTACAATAACCACCACACACAGCTGGATAGAAACAATGGCTTCCACTTAGGAGGATCTCATTTGCCAGAAACTGTTATATGTCTTCAACCAGGCCCTTGAGTCTTTGCTTAAACCTGTTTTGAATTTTAATGGATTTGTTCTATCTAAGAAACAGAAACTCCCAGGTTTACAGAGAGTCCCGACTCTGCCAGCTGGATGGTACCCTGCTCTGTGGTTCAGTGAATTCATCCAGTACATGTAAGCAGGGTAAAAAAACCAAACATTTCCTTGCCTCTCAAAAGTCCATGGCAGGATTCTGAAATCAAGTCACTATAACTTTATATCTGCCCCAATGATTGTGTTTATGTTAGTGATATAGAATAAATGAATTATAAAATTGCTCTTGAATTTTTATGTTGTCATTTAAAATGAAAAGTTCTGAAATGATTTCCCTTAGATACTTCCTTGTTCCATAATTTGGATGGTGTCCATTTTTATATTCCTCAATAGTGAGTGCTTAGAAAATTCAGAAGTTCTTAACTTGAATTTCCCAGGAGTAGCCAGTTTCTTAGAAATCCTTTGCAGATAGTTTAACTCCAGGAAGCAATACCTGCATCTTCTTTGCTACTTCCCAATAAACATAAATTGACAATCTGTGAAATAAGTTATACTCAGAGCCTATCAAGGCAGTTCATCAAGATTTGGATTAACTGTGGAGGAAAGAAACCTCATCAAAACTCTGACATTCTTAGAGAATTTCGAAGTATACTTACTGTGATATTGGTGCTGATCAGAACTTTCATCTATGAATAAAGGAAAAGGATAATGAAAGCTAGTTGGCATGTATTTAAAAGATGAGGATGCTGACTCTATGGCAACACAATCTCTCCATGACTTAATGTTACTGGTCATTCTACCTTCCTTTAGTTTCCTGTTTCTCCTGCCCACAAAACATTTGTGTTTGTGAAATATTGCACACAGTTTGCAGTGAACAAACTTAATACCTCTTTGGCTTGTCCTTAAGCTGGGTGAGTATGCTTTAAAAACACGTTACCAGTTTTATTGATCTTTTATTGATCCTACATGCACACTCCCTTACATTCTTTAGTTATTCAAAGCAATATTTAATAACAAATGTGGGAAATGCAAATAATACTAACAGCAATGATAAGTGTAGTTCAAAGAATGCTAACTAGATCAAGGTGTACGAACATAGGAGCTGCAAAGAAAAACATAACATTGTTTCACTGAAAAGATATTTCTCCAAAAATGTTCTACTCAAGGGGCATCTTCTTTTATTCCATAGGGATGTGTTGAGTGAACATTATCCTTAAGTACTGTACCATGCTAGGTGAGCATCAGAGATTCATCCTAAGCAGAGAGCTAGTAGGTACAAGGAGCTTCTCCCAAGTTGGAGGTAAGTAACTGAAGCATTTCAGCGACCCAGTTTCTTTTTACATACTCAGATGGTCTTGGGAAACATCTAGAAAGTGACTTCCCAGAAGGAAAAGATTATGTGAAACAGAAAAGATTATGTAAAACATTGGGGAGAGCATTAAAACTATGTGTCACAGCCACCCACAGACTGTATTCCACCTGAAGCATTCAGAAGGCTTCACTAACCAGGGACTTGTTTCTACACGAGAAAAAGAAAACGTTGTAAGGAAAATGTTAAGCAGCAGAACAGAAGAGCTGCAGCTTCCTCTTCTACTTCCCAACATCCATCTTTAGTAGAAGTCACTTGCTTAGAATTCTCTTACCTTCTGGAAACTTTCACAATCTTTATTAATATCTTCTACAGTTCTAAAATTTATCTGTTGTGCCAAAATTTTATTTATATTTCATATCATCAGGAAAATATTTAACTGTGTTAGTTCTACTTCAGATACAACCTAAAATATGGATTAACTTATGAAAATGTATTTAGTTATTAGTAGTTACATTTTAACAAATTATCCCTGTGGCATATTATTTTTCTCATACAGTCTGTCATCTTATTTGCAAGGCATGTAATATCCTTGCAAATAAGATACCTGATTATTTTTGATGTATTAAATATTGAAATAACTAATTTTAAGCAATCTTTGCTCTCCATTTGCCTCATCTTAATTGAAATGGATGTGTGTGTTTGTAAGCATGTATGTGTGCATCTGTAAGCCTGTGTGTGCGTGTGCGTGCGTGTGTGTGTGTGTGTGTGTGTGTGTGTGTGTAAAGTATCTCTGGAAATACAGCAGGGCCACCAAACTTATTTCATATAGCATCTGTTTAATATGTAGATCATTATCTTCTTCCTTAGTTGTTTTTTAGATACCATCTTAGTTCCATTTTTGAAGAAATAAAGGTAAAAAGTGAGATGGGAAATGATCCACTATGAAAAAAAGAGTTTGGGAAGGTTTTTATATTAAATGAGGAAAATCACGTTTGTTTTCCCATCATTTCTTCATAATAGCAACTGATGATATGTACTGAGCGCTTACAATGATGCTAAGCCCTATGTGGGCACTAACTTATTCATCTAGCACAAGTGTCTTGGGAGGGAAGGTCCGTGGTTCTCAATGAGAATCCAGAGAATGAAGATGTCCACAGCTGTGTTTGCGCCGGAACCACGCTCCATGCTCACACCCCACATCACCAGGGCCTGACTCCAAGGCCTAGTGGCTCCTCTTCTCACATAGCTGATAGCCTGTCATGTCAACTTTTGAAAGACTCCTTGAACTGAGTGTTATTGAACGGTTGAAAATTATTGTGGAAACTTCAATCATACAGCGGTTGTTTCAAATGGTTGTTTACTTATATAAAGACTATCACAAGTTGGAAATGAACTAATTAGAATTTTTAAAATATGTTTAACACCAAACATTCACCTTTAATTTTTGCAGTGAAATATTGTATTGACTATGCCATCATACATTCCTCTAAAATCTTATGTTTTTTTAAAAAAATATTTTATTTAAAAGGAAAAAGAGAAAAAAAAGCAGAACAAACAAAACAGTGTAAGGGTACAAGTAATTCAGAACTACAGAAAAGCAAAAAAGACAAAAAACAGTACGCTATCACCAGTTAATAGATTACTCGCTATCATCTTAGAAACGGTGTTTCAGGTCACAGGATCAAAACACACAAAGCGAACATTCAAACAGTGAGAATGCAAACAGTTGTGTTCAGTAATCCAATCCAAAATATTAATATGGTCTTCTATGTAACACACCTAAACACCCTTGCTGTTGTATCCTTCAGGGCACTTTTCTTTCCCTCTCTTTATTACAACAAAATTTACACATTTTGGGCTTTATTGCTCCCTTAGATCTTATTACTTTTTTTGTAAGAGAATAAAATCAAGCATGATAAAACAAAGCTGTCAGTCAAAACCAAGGCTAGACATAGCACATGATGTAAAAACAGAGTACAAGGTTATCAACAATGGCTACCATAATGCCTCTTGCTTCCTTAAGAAGAATTGTCTATCTCTTTAGGTATTATAAAGTTAAATGTAACAGTAGAGAACAAGACCAATAGAACCTAAACTTTGTAAATCTTACAGCACCTCAAAAGAGGATAATAGTCAAACCAGAATGGGCATCATAGTGAATCTTATTGCCTTTAAAGTAGTTGCCTTTACTGATACTTGATACTTTCATACAGAGCAGAATAGAGTCTAATCAGTCAGAACAAGATAACGGGGGTATTACAGGACTTCAAGTTGATAGGAAATCAAAAAAGTTACTATAATATATCCTGCTAGATTTTTTATTTTTTCCCCTTAGTTTAAAAAAGGAATTTAAAAAATTAAATAACTTTTTAATGAATAAGGGAGAGGTTGAGATAAAAAGGGGCATAACAACATAACAATACAGGTTAAAGCATGACACTTTCAGCAACCTAGTGCTTCACCACCAAATAACCCGACTTAATAGTAGTTACCATAGTGTCTTTTTCTTTGAAATACTTGAATATAACTTTATATGCTATAGCATCAAACATATCAAGACTGTAACACCATTCAAGTGGATGACAGCATTGTAGAGTATTTAGAACCAGCTAACAGAAAAAATGATCAATGGTTTCTATATTGTCTCTTTGCCTATAACAATTTTTGTTTATACTACCACATACGATAAAATCCAGCAAGCTACAACATGATAAAATCAATGGAGACAGAAGAGCCATAGTTTGGTACGGCTTTAAGACAAGATGGTATTAAATCAGCACTAGCTATTATGATGTCTTGTTTTCTTCAAAAGGGCTGTTCACGGCATGATAGGCCATAATATCAAACAGCCCAGAATAAAGCCATTCCAATTTATGAGTGAAAATTTTATAAGGCTTCAAGGCCACATAATGGGGAATCATGGTTATCATGTACTTTTATATATTTGAATCATTTCCTACACTAGGGAAACTATTCGGTGTTCACAGGTGTGAGTTTGATTTAGTTCACTTATGAGTATGGTTTCAAGCTGCATCCATAAAATCTTATGTTTTGAAAATGAAAGTCCAAAATTTAAAAATCTGCAAAGGAATGGCATGCCTACAACTTATACAGGAATTGACTGCTGATAAAGTACTTCTACATTCATCATTTCACTTGATGTGCACTACAGTCTTCTTGGAAAGAGAGGAATAGATGTGAAAAAAGAGATGTGAAAAGATACAAGTGGCTTATTAAATTCCCTACTTAACATAATAGTTAAATTGAAGGGCTGGACTTGGAATCATTTTATTAACACCAAGTCCAAGGTTCTTGGTAGGGCTTTTCATTACATAGGTGGATGATGACAAAATCACTTGATTTGTCCATTTTCCTGTTTTCATGTGAGAAGTTGTCTAGGTTCACCTTTTAACTACCACCTTGTCATGTGGTTTGATATGCCTGAGAAACATGCCACAGGCAGTTACCAAAATCTCAATAATTTCCCCAGACATTAATACAGTGAGGTACTACTCTTGTATGAAAAAAGGATAAACTTGAGTCAATTGTAGGAAAATGGATACATTTTAAGAAAATAATGTGAAGTGAAATAAATTGGGCACACAGATTTAAGTACCACATGACTTTATATATGAGAAATTCAAATTATAAAGAGCATAGTAAAAAATAGGGAAATAGGGAGATAGATCTTTTGCAAAAGGAAAGGGAACCAAGAGATGGAGAGGGAGCAAGGGAGCGAAGGGGTGAACAAAAGAGAATTAAGATTAAGTACATGTACCAGCTCCCCATGAGGAATGTAATCATTGCATACTGCAAATATGTACCAATAAAAACAAAAATTTTTAAAATTTGCCCAGGGTGCATTTTTTGAAAAAAAAATTTTTGTAATAACTCTGAAATATGGTTTCCATTTTACCTCAAACATACACAGGGAATAGACGAGAGAGCTGGGAAAGAGAAGGGAGGCGGGGAAGGGGGAAGGAGAGAAGGAAAGAACGGGGGAACAACCTAAGATTTTGATTACCTGGTTGTTAAAGACCCTTATTAATCCTTTCTGAGAAGCTGTTATTAGTAAATCCAATTGGGGAATCTTGACGATGCTCTTAATCACATCTCGTCTTCTGCTACCTGTCAATAGTACAATATTCATTTAAAGTTTCAGCAGTAAAGACTCTACAACTCATCTGTGGTTGGTCTAAAAAAAGAAAAAGGCAAACAACCAACATTTTGCTAGAAAGCCCTCAGTTGCTTAAAAACATAAGTAGAATAAAACTTAGTAACTGCTGTTTTTTAATCCTTAGAGATACGATCTGAATCTATAGAGCTCAGCAACTAAACATGGTACATAAATTCTCAGACAAATGTAAGATACACACCCACACACCATTCATGCAGACTTAGGTGTGGACATTTCACAGAAAATGAGTTCTCTGACTACCTTTTAGAATCATCTCTCTTTTTTTAGATTTTTTTTCACATCTCTTAGGAATCTTTGAATTGTCACCATTGTGTTTTTCAACAGAATAAAAACATAATACTACAGGTTTACAGTATTATAGGGTAAAACTACTTCAGTGCTGTTACCAAGGCTATTCTGAATGTTGTGCATTTTGTAAAGAAATACTGTACACTTTGGTATTTCTATGTTTATGTACTAAATGATAAAGACACATATATTCACTCACCTTCCATGGTGATTTAATTTTTATAATTGCAAATTCTAACAAAAAAGTGACTAGATATCACACTCTAGTATTCACTCATCCAAGCAGCAGCAGAGAAAACAGTGCCCCAACAAGGTGTAAACACACACACACACATACACTTTAGTAAGATACACACACATATATGCGTGGGTGTCATATATATATATCTTAATAAGATACCCTTAGTAGGGCTAGGGATTTAGCTCAGCGGCATAAGTGCCTGCCTTGCAAGTGTGTGTGTGGTTGTGAGTTCAATCCCTGGTACCGGTAAAAAAAAAAAAAAAAAGATACCCTTAGTAGTGAATATTTGATATATTAAAATATCATAGAACAAGGTATGCTAGGAGGAGAGGAGAGAGTAGGAGAAAAAAGTTCCTTAGAGATCAATATTTTTTAAAAAATTGAAAAACAGTGTTCTATTCCAAGCTACCATCAGTCTCTCTGCTTCCACTTCCCAGTTTAGACTACTGTCAACACTGGAGCCAGAATAAACATTTAAAGTGTAACTGAGATCAGCCTCCTCTCTTCCCATAGTGCTCTTGCAGCTTTTTGTGTCATTCAGAAGTCTCTAGCATGGCCTGCAGATTCCTGTTCACCCATCGTCAGGCACACTGAGGTTGATCTCGCCAACCTCATCTTCTAGTCTTCTCCGTCACCCTCTCTCTGAAATGCATGCTTCTCTCTCTCACTTTTCTCCAAGACTTCTCTCTTTTCAGTGGGGCTTCCATGACCAACCTGCTACTGCCATCCCCAAACCAATTTCTCCTTCCTGTATTTCTGATTGACTTTCCTCCACTACCTAACTTCATTTCCCCCTATATCATGAATGCTACCTGACACACTTTATGTTTCACTTGCTTTATTTTTGGGTTGTTTGTTTCTTCTTGTGAGACTGTGAATTCCACAAGGTCAGGGATTTACGTCTTTTGTCGTCATTTCTGTGTCCTCGTACTTGGAAAGCTATTCAGCCCACAGTAGAGACCTTAACACACATTATTTGAGGGGAAAATGAGCTATAGCTATTCTTTAGAAAAATGCTTTCAAAGTTCTAACTTAGGATGCCACAGCATGCCTCTCTTGAGCTCTGGTATCTTCTCAGCTAAGCAGGGCGGCATCTTTTGTGTTTGTTCTTTTGTGGTAGCTCCGATGGGCTGTGGTTGGGCTAAGTAAAGGTCCAGGATAAAAGTGGACTTTGTTCACAAAAGTCTAGGTGCTTTTGTAAAGAAACATCAGGTTTGACCCACACTGTGCACATCATTTAAGAATATGGGATGCAATCCTGAAAGAAGATTCCAGGGTTTGCCTTTTCACTTCCTGAATTTCTCCCATCCTAGGTGGAGAAAAGGGGAGAAAATCCAGTGTCAACAGTGGAGAGGTCTTCAGGTCCTAGGTCCAAACTGGAAAACAGATGAAACATAAGAACTGAAAACTTCCTAAACTGAGACAATGCCCCTTGATGAGTGGCCCAAAGTCATGGTTTCAGAGATGAAGGTAGGCCTGTCCAAGATAATTGAGGGTGACTGAGAGTATAAGGAGAAATCCTAACTTGAAAACGTAATTCTATAGATTAAACATATGATTCTGTTTGGTATTGAAGCTTGCATTATTGAGATACCATGGTAGAGAGGTTCAAGTGAAGTCTGGATCTTGTCAGGAAAATACAAATGTTTTCACCTTCACTTTTGCTATTCAATGTTCCTTGGAGCAATGATAATATTTCAATTTCAGTGGCAAGTATAATTTCTTCTGAAACTGTAATTTCCTTTCATGTATGAAGAATTGAACAAGTAAGTAAACAGAAAGATGATTTAATGGGATTAGTGTTGTCTTCGATATTTATTTTTGAAAAAATTATTAAACTTACACCAATTAAAAAGGGAAATTAAAAATGTCACCTGAAGTTGCAATTCGCTGTTTTTCTGACACAAGGAAAATCAAATTTTCTTTATCCAACTGGTGAGCAAGAGAATCTCCTTCAGTTGAGAAGTATCCAAAGATCTAAAATTCCAAATAACACATTTAACACAAGCAATCTCTAGGAATTGGCAGTAGAGTCATAATAGATTTAATGCTGGCTGGATTTAAAGTCTTATTTGGAATAGTGTTAGCACCTTGCTGTATAATGCCTGATGATTTTTTATGTGAAAGGAAGCAGGTTGATACATTTGACAAACTGTATCCTGCTGATGAATGATTTCTAAATAGTCTCTTGTTGTTCTCGATATGTGGAAGAACTGATGGAGTAGACTTGTGTCTTTGCTCAGATTTATAGCTCTGTTAGGACCTGGCACTTGTTTGGAAATCAAGTCACCCTTTATCAGACAGAACCTAAGCTAAAATCTTAACATTGAGTATTGTTATTCTCAAAAGACTTTTCATATCTATTTTCCATGAATCTTTCTGGCCTGGATTTTGTCACTCTGGTGAGAGGGAGTTTTGGAATTTAAGACTACATAGTTTCTTTCTATATAACTGTTCTACATCCTACTCTCTAGGCATTGCATGAGAATAAGTTACTATAAAAGAATATCCTGAAAAAAGTGCTACTTATCTGTGACTAAGTATTCAGATTATGACATTTTGAAGCTCTGAGAAATCTGAAAAGTAGAATAACTTATAGGCCTCGTGTGGTGGCATGCACCCCTGCTCCTACCTGGCAGGGAGGTTGTGGTAGAGGTCACATGATGCCAGGGGTTCAAAGCCAACTTGGGCAACATAATGACACCTCATCTCAAAACACAAAGCAAACAAACAAAAATACTGTTCTTGAACTGTTTTATTGGAAATAAAATTCTTATACATTACTGGAATTTAAAAAGAATCGAGAATTTTAAAAATCATTTTTAAATTAGTAAATAGCTTATCATTAAATTTAAATATAAATGACTAATGTACATTGGTATATTAGTCTCATACAGCTGAGACTAGCCAATGTCAAGAATGAATGAAGGGAAGAAAGTGTGAAGCGCTTTAATACATGAGTGTGCATACCAACTACCCAGGGATCCTGCTGAGGTACAGATTCTGACTCAGTAGGTCTGGGGTGGCGTGTAAGAGGCTGCATTTGAAACAAGCTGCCCACGAGGGCCCACACTAATGGACTGCACTGGACTTAAGTCAAAGCCCATTATACATTCATCTATTTTGATACCACTTAATTTTGATGCTAAAGGATGACTTCCGTTGTATTTTGACATGTGTCCTTTCATCAGTTGATGCATAAATGTCACTACTTTGTCTTCGAAACCTCCCAACACAGAAAACAACTGGGAAATCAACATTAAAACTACTACCCTTAGACTTTTCCTTCAGCTCACCAGCAACCAGCACTCAATAAAAGCTTAACTCACTTGTTAGTTTTTCCAGAAATAATTGTTCATTTTTCTTGGGTAAAAAAAATCTCTTGGTTTAACATCTAATTTTCTCTGAAAGGTTGAGAAAAAAAGTGCTTTTAACTGGTCTGTGTCAGAGTGGATAGGGATCCTTTGACGTGATGTCTTTGTCATTGTTCACTTATGCACTACCCAGCTAATAGTCATATATTGATCTGCACCTAAGTCTTGGCTGTTGGAATCCACCGTATGGCCGTGTGGGTAGGGCATGGACTCGGCAGTCAGATGTGTCTGAGTTTAGGCTCTGCAACTAACTGGCACTCAGAACCTGGATGATAGCGTCACCTTTTTAACTTTCAAATTCCTTTCTAGAACAAAAGGATCAACTTCTGAGTTTCCTTTTTTGAAATGAGGTTTGAATGAAATTGTTCATGTAAAGCATTTTACATTGTGTTTGGCACGTAGTAATTATTATTAAAAATACATAGCAGGCTACAGTACGGCTCAGTGGTAGAGCACTTGCCTATCATGTAAAAAGTCCTGGGTTCAATTCTTACCCCAGCACAGCATATAAATAAATAAATAAATAAATGCTGCTATTATCATTAGAAATCCTAGATTGAGGAAAAGAAGGCTCTGGTTAGAGGTAGTACTTTAAAACCACAAGCCCACTTGGGGATTAGGTGCTTTATCTAGTAATAAAGACTCATGAGATGGGCTCTGGCATAAACTGATGATAAACTGAACCTCTAGGAAAGAGTTATATGACTTCCATCACCAATTAGATTCAAGAGGAAATTCAGTCATGAACTCATCAAATCCATTCATTTTTATAGTTTTTGCTTCCTTTCTTACTCTGATTAGGATCTAAGTGTCAACTCAGTCTCACATCCTTCCCATCTTTCAACCTTTTGCAGCATGGCTTTGGTCTGGTGAGAATTACTACGGGAAAACAAGAAGGCACAAGATGTTGATACTTTGGTTCAGGTTGTAAAAAAAAGGGGATCTTGGTGGCAGTGGAGTCTGCATCAATGGGGTTTAGGTGCATTTCCACATACATCAATGTAAATAACTTCTGTAGCCAAGGTCAATGCTAAGCAGAATAAATAACTCACATAACCAAGGTTATTGTAGGAATGTGGCCATTTTTGTATACTTTGGTATAAATATAGACTGCCACGAGGGTTGGGATGGAGGTACCTAAGTGGCTAAGGATTGCTGCCAGAATAGGCTGGCTGGGGGCCAAGGAGTGCTGTGAGTGTACAGTGGCTGGGGTTGCAAGAACGGATAAACAGATGGACAGTGGCTGAGCAGCTGAATAAAAGAAGTTTAAGCCAGTCCGGTTGCTCGAATCTCAACTGAACCTCCCCAGTCTGGAAGGGTGACAAGTCACTGCATCCTCGATGTTGTAGCTGATGAGTCACAGGGAAAATCTCCCAGCCTAACAGATGGGGCCAAAAATCACTCCTGATGCCCAGTCCTCCATCTTCAGTACCTGCTGACCATTGTTTCATCTTTCTCCAGATGATCACTTCCCTCATTCACAGGAGCAATGTTCTTCACTCCAATTAGAGACAACTCCACCTCTTAGCAATTCTCCACATAGTGCTGACCTCACATGCTACTTTAGTTTATCGTAGAAGGCACTAGACAAGAGATTCCTCAACTCCTTTCTCCTCCTTACACACCAAGCTGGCTTTGGATCCATACTGCCCGCCTTCCTTTTCTTTTAAAGGAACATATGTTTCCTGTTATGACTTGTATCTAGATGTTCCCCCAAAGCCTCATATGGTCATAGATGGGGATTTGGTAGGTGGCTGAATTAGCACATGAAAATGTGGATTTTAAGGGCATGATGGTGGGATTAGAATGTGGATAACGGAAGCCTCACCCTGGGTATGAGTGGCAGTAGGCTTGTAGCCTGGATGGAATGCAAAGGGACAGAAAGAAGGCAGGCTGCTCCTGCTCACTGCTTCGGCCTGCCTGCCTGCCATGGACTGTTTCTCCTCTTCAGTGCCCTTTACATTGCTACCCTGCTTTGGAAACAGCCAACTTTGGACTGAAACCTCTACAAACTGTGAGTTGAAATAAACTTTTCCTCCTTTAACTTTGAGTGTCAGGTATTTTGACTCAGCAACAAGAAAAGCAAGACATTTTTCTTTCCACGGCCTATCTTGCCTTCCATGCTTTGCCTCCCACTCCCTCTTATCTTTTACAATATCATCTCCTTTTCCCTTCCTCAGCATCTTTGACCTCTCTCTACTGACTTTTAAACATTCATAAATGTTCAGGTCTGTCTTCAAAAAAACAAAAATACAACAACCTTCCAAAGTCAATAACCACACAAATAATAATGCTTATCTCTTTCATGCTGTTCTCTTCCCCAGCTTCCTTCTCAGTTTCAAGTCCCCTTCGTGCTTGGAATATTTCTTTTTCTCTTCTGTCTTATTTTTAAGAATGCATGTGCCTACTCTAGACCCACTTAGATAATCTTCCTATATTAAACTCAGGTGATTGTTCTTTGATTCCATCTGCAAAGTCATTTCATAGCACTGTCCAGGTTAGTATTTGAATGACCAGGAGAAAGGAATCTTGGGAAAAGAAGTCACATTTTGAATTCTGCCTATCATTCCTCATTTTATACATACTACTCTCTATAATTTAAATTAAACTAAATTTTTAAAATTGTAAATGCTCAATGGTCATTTCAACCTGAGATAATAGTGTGAAAGAATAAATTCAGATAACCATGTGAACTGACAATGAGAATCAGGGTTCTTTACTTTTTTTGCTAATGAATTCCAGTGTTTCTCAGAGGTAGGAGAACTTCACATCATTTTGCTGTCATCTAATTTGAAGCAGTAAAATGTGTTCTATGATATCAAATTTTGAAAAGCAGTGTATAGTCATTTAGCCTGAATTGTAACTTCCATATAATTTTTTCTGAGATAATGCTAATGCATCCTTTAAGCATCTGAGTCCAGTATAACAAGCAATGTCCCTCCCAAGGGAGTCAGTATTAGGTTGCTTTTGGACTTAGGAATGGGTCCACATTCTGAATCCACTGTCAGCTAACCATATAATCTCAAGAAAGTTATTTCTCTGTGCCTGAATTTTCTCCATCTGGAAAATACATACAGTCAGCTATCACCTCTACCTGATGCATTATTGTTAAAGATTGAATAATTAGATTACTTAGTAAATAAGAATATTAAAAATTTCTTAGATTGCACCAAGTGCTAAATAGCTGCTCAATCAACATCACCATTTGAGGAATTATAATTCCTGATTTTTTTCAGAGATAGTATAGGAAGCAGAGCTTAGGCGTTCTTGTTAGTTCAAAATGGTTCACTAAGCACCTCTGCTACCTGCCAGACAACACATCAGCCATGTACACTATCAAGCATATATTTTATAGTCATACGTACATGTAGGTAGATACTATTATGCAAGACTTCTGTTCTTATAGAAATGGCTTTTCTACTTTTCCTTGTGATAACAAAACAGAACAATGTATTCCATAATAACTTCCAGAAAAGTAAAAATACTAAATTATTAAAATTAATTTAAGAACATTGTAAGATATTGTACCAATTAAACTTTAGAAGAGACAGAAGACATTTTATATGTTGAAAGGAAATGTTTCAAAAAAATAGTGTTAAAGAGCAAAAAACATCTCCTTTTATGATAAGCTGAGGCCTCAAAGATCTCAAATTTCTTTTTCAACGTTTTAAAATTTTAATCTAATAATTATACTTGTGACGTGGTATATTTTATGTTAGATATAGTATGACTAATGAAATACTAATTTTCTTTTAACTATGTTATTTATGGTCTGTGCTTTAAATTACTTTTGTAATCTTTGTAGCTTTTGTCATTTTTAAAAAGTTTAACTGATATGGGGCCAGGGATTTAGCACAGTGGCATAAGCACCTGCCTGGCAAGTGCAAAGGCGTGAGTTTGATCCCTGGTACCAAATAAATAAATAAATAAATAAAAATTTAAAAATTAACTGATACACAAAAATCATAAATAACAAGTACACATAAGTATGTACAACATAAAATTTGTACATATCAGTGAGATAGCTTGGAATTAATGTTCAATAGTTTTAGAAAGCATAATGTTTAAATCAGATTAAACATAATTATGTCATAAAATATTAATTCTTTGTGGTGAAAACTTTCAAAATTCTTTCAGCTTTCAGAACTGTACAGTAAGGTGATTTGCTTTTTATATCACATTTTATTTTGATTATATAAGGAACATATGTTCATTGTAAAGCATATGGAGAAAATGAAAAACAGGTAGAAGAAAATAAAAACCTGTATGCAACTTGTGTTTTACCCTACTCTGGAACATTTCTTAACATTTTTGAAGTTAGCAAATATAATTTTAGCTATAAAATAATTCATTTCAAATTCACTTTTTTGGGGGAACACAATTTTAGGCATTCCATATGGTAGTGTATGATTCTTCTTTGAATTAATTTGTAATGGACTCCTACCAAAAGAATGTTTATGAGTCGTTGAGTGGAAACACAGCCTAACCCGGTACTTTAGGAAGAGTAGATCGTGTCTGCACTAGACTTTCACACTGATTAGCTCTATCAACTTAGGGCAATCCCATCTCTGTAGCTCTCTTTATATCTAACTTTTCTCAAAGGGTAAAGGATAAGTCTAGTTTATGTTTCAGTTGAGTCCTCAGATCATTATTCTATGATCTCAAATTCTTCATTGTATTTGCATCCAAATCTTAGGAAAAAAAGGGCAGTTTCTTATGGCATCACTACAACTGAGAAATTTATGTTTAAAATCATATTTGGAAATCTATACTGAGTTTAAAAGAGTAAATCTAGTTCTAGTTCAAGGTTAATATTTGATGATAAATTTTTTTAAAGTAATGCATTGTGGAATGAAAGTCTTCCAGCCCTGAATTTCCATTTTGTAGATGACAGATCTGAAGCCAAAAAGGTTAGGTCGCATGGCTTGAAATAGAAAAGCCTCTTAGGAGTACTGGCACAGATTGTGAGAAAAACTGTCAGAATAAAAGAAGAACTTCCCTGAATCATTTTCTTAAACTTCAGTGGATTTTTCATATAAAGTATGTCAGAGGCTGGTGATGAGTTTTTCTATTAAACTTGCATATGATTTATAGGAACCCATATCACATGGAATTAATAGCTAAGGAGAAAATTTTAGCTCCAAAACTAAAATCACCATTCTGTGTGACTTGTGATAAGTCAATTAACCTGTCTGTGCTTTCCTCTCTTCATCTGTTTTATTGCAATGACATTATTTTCCACAATTTATATTAGAGTTGTTGTAAAGATTAAATGAGAGCCTCAAAAGACATATAAAAATGACAGTTTATAAATCTAAGATTATGAGTTTCTAATTGGAAAGGAAAAGAGAAAGCACAGATATTAAAAGGAGGCTCAATTTCCTCATCAAAAAAATGAATAAAGAGAGAAAGAAATTGTTATCCAATTATTTAGTTTTGTTTGGTACTGGGAATCAAACTCAGGACCTTGTTCTTGAAGAAATTGGATATACTTTTTTAATGATCTAGATCTAGAATATCCCCCAAACTCTCCTATGCTCAGAAGCAGTACTTTACAAGATGACTGGATTATGGGAGCACTATACTCATCATTGAATTAATCCACAAATGTATTCATAGCTGACTTGATGTTAGGAGGTAGGGCTTGGTTCCACTTGGGTCACTGGTAGAGCAATGTGGAAGCATATATCTCCCTCTCATACCTTCCCTCCTCTGCTTCTTGGTTGCCACGATATAAGCAACTCTCCTCCACTATTTCCTTCTGCCATGATGATTTTGCCTTGGAGCAGGCCTAACAAGGAATACACTGTGAGCCAAAATAAACTTATTCTTCTTTAAATTGCATATGTTGGGTATTGTGTCAGTGGTAAAAAAGTGACTAAGACAGATTTTGGTACCAGAGAAGTGGAATTGTTGCTGTGATTATATCTGACCATGTGACTCAGAAGCCTTTGAAACTGGTTTGCAAGAGGAGGTTGGAAAGGTTTAGAGATGCTTGCTGGAAGGGCCTTAGAATGTTGCCAGTTGGGCTTGACAGGAGATACTGGTCAGAGTGCTGAAGATCAGAATGCTGATAAGAAATGGAAAGAGTAAAGGTCAAGCTTAGGAGATTTGAAATGAGAACAAAGATTTCAGTTGAGAACTTGAGGTCACATGTGTTACTTTCTGGCAGAAATATGTCTTTATTTTACCAATGTCCTGAGAGTTTGTGGGAGACTGAAAGTAAGGGCTCTAGACTACTTAATTTCGCAGAGGCAACCCAACATTCAGGCTGTGGCATGGGTACTGCTGGCTGCTTCTAGCAATGCCTACAGTAGTAATCAGTACCAAAATGCAGAGCTTAATAATTTGAAAAAATTTGGTGGTGGCCAGAAAGCAAGTAAAGTTGAGGCTGTAAAGGTAGGGCCAAGGGGGATGTGGTTGCTGAAAAGATTGCAGCTAAAAAGAAGTCAAGAATTTGCATCCATACATGAGGAAAAATGCCTCTGGGGCATCTCAACTTTTTATTGCTGAGGCCTTCAGTTTCGTAACAGTGAGGACTTGAATTCAATCATCAACTTGAATAAACTTGGAAGGAGATTCTTCTTTAGTTGGACCTCCAAATGACCACACAGCCTAGATAATACCTTGGTTGCACCTGGATGAGACCTTAACCAGACAGCCAAGTTAAAGCTGTTCCTAGACTCCTGATTCATGGAATCTGCAATATAATGTGTGTTTCTTTAAGTTACTCAATTTATGGTAAATTATTCCAGTAGTAATAAAGAATGAATACAGTCTCTTCTATCAAGTAAAAGAAATTTCCATTCTGCTAAGATTTTCTTTTAAAAACAAGAATAGTTATTACATTTTTATCAAATATCTTTTTTGTTTTTATTTTAGGATCAGGGATCAGCAAACTTTTTCTGAAAATGGTCAGGTATAAATAGTTTAAGCTGTAATCTCTTCTGGTCTTTTTCAGAACCATTCAGTTCTGCTACTGTTGCTCAAAAACAGCTATACAGAATATGTAAATGAGTGAGCATTACTATGTTCTAATAAACTTTAATTACAAAAACTGGTAGCTGTCCAGATTTGATCTATGGGCCTCAGTTTCTGCTAAGATAACTGCATTATTTTTTCTCCTTAACTTGTTGAAAGAAATATGTTCATGGCTTTTCTAATATTAAGCCATTCTGACTTGTGGAGCAAATTATATTTGGAAATGAATTTTTAATATACCATGGTGTTCAATTTTTAAAAATTTTATTTAGGATTTTACTATTTAAATTCATAAATAATATTGGCTTATAAATTTTTTGTTCAACTCAGTGTCATTGTAGCCTCCTAAAATAAATTGAATAGTTTTGTTTTTCCTAAATTATTAAAAAATTGATATAACATGGGAATTACGTATTCTTAAAAGCCTTATAAGCTTTTGTTTATACTTTTTTCCAAATCTAGTTACATTCCTTTTTTATTTGGTTAGTTTTAGAATTGAACTATCATCATCATTATTATAAACTTATAACTTTATTTTATCAGTGTTTTTTGATTACTGATATATTCTTTTAAACAAATGTATGCTGAATTTTGTAATGGCCCCAATTATGCAGCTGAACCAAAGACATACATTTCTTATGTCTTTGGTTCAAAATTCCATTCATGAATATCTATCAGTTTTTAAATGTGATGATCAAATTCTTTAGATATTGCTTTCTCTCTTGTCCCATTTATCTGCTGAGTTTTTAAAAGAGTTAATTTTAAAAATTATTTTATTATTTAGTCAACATGCATATAAGTTTTTGAGTCAACACTGTGCCAATCAGATAACACTTCAATAAATAACAGCAGTGATCAATTGTAGTGTCTTTTTTATATTAAGGGCTTAGATACACTAAAAATTTATATACACTGAAAATGAATATTTCAGGCCAGGGATACAGCTCAGCACAGCATGTGTGGCAAGCACAAGGTCCTGAGTTCAATTCTCGGTTAAAACAAAAAAAGAATATCCAATGGATATTATCTGAAAATAAATATTTCATTTAGAATGTAATGAAGTCTGTTAAAATTTTGGAATTGGCAGGTTGGCCTAAAAGTATTTAAGAGTTGCTCAACAATAATATGTTTAACAATGGTTACCTGGCTTGTCCACTTTATATTGTTGATGGTGGCCACGTCTTAATGCTTAGAGGAGTTAGGTCATGTCACATACACATTGTGGATTTAATCCCTATGGGAGTAACATTTATTTATACTGAACAAAAGCAAATAATATCTGGATTTCACATTATAAATATGAAAAGTTACTACCTCACACCAATCTATAGGTGCATCAGGGTCCTTGCAAAGTTTCCTATAAAAGCATTTCACATCTTGACTCTTCAGTTCTATATCAAATAGCTCCTGTACTGATGCATAGAACTTGTCATAATCAATCACATCTGCTGGGAAGAAAGCACAAGTACATTTTCACCAAATACTGAAGACCATTTCATATTTCAGGTGCTTACTGTATTTCCCAACCTTCTATTTTCCTATTTCAATTTAACGAAAACCGAATTTGTCTGCATTTTAAAGATCTTGTCTTTGGAAACCTTTTAGCCTTGGGCTAAAATATTACTAAATGAAAAGATTTTTTTTTTACTTTGATCTTCCATATTTTCTCCATATCTTCTGTTTCAGTTCTTTTAGAAGTTTTGTGCAGGAATATAAAGATAAGAAAATGAATTGCAAAGGATTACTCTGTCCTGCTATGAAAGTTTCACCAACTGGAGTATCTACTAGAGTTCACCTCAAGTGGAAGGTACAAGTATGCAAATAGCACTAATATATTAGTTCTTTGATCATATGCAAACACAAATATCATTGTTCAAATCTTGATTTTGAAAAAAATATTGATTCACAGAGGTAAGACTATTGAGGCTAAGGACAAAGGCGTGAGATGCAAGGACTCAAAACTGTATTGATAAAATCAAATTCTTTTATTTAATTAACAAAAGAATATTGATCATAATTAGGTGTCACAACTGAGTTAGACATTGGATTTAGATGGAAAACTAGATCAGCAAATCCCTGCTTTCAAAGAGCTCCCATTCTAGTAAAAGGATCAGAGAATTAATGAGAACAAACATTTTACATATTGTGATAGGCTTGACTCATTAATAGTTGTTAAATTAGAGGTTATTTGTTTATGAGGTAGGAAGCTAAAATTGCTGCAAAATGATATGAGGGAACTTTCTGAGGTGCTAGAAATGTTTTTGCTTTGGTTTGGTTGGCTTATTGACCAGAGTTCAAATTTTGGCTCTACTTAAGATTAGTGCACTGTCGTATCTCTGTAACAAAGTGAAAATAAATTTCATCATAGAATGAGATAGTGTGAGAAAGGAAATCAATAAGATCTGTGATAGAATTATATGGTGCTGGGGGACAGAGGAGACATCAGCCAATGCCTCTCTAAGGAGCCAAATAAAATTTTAACCTCAGACTTGATGAGCAATCAGGAGTCAGCCATGCCTAAAGCAGACGAGAACAGCTAGACAATGGCCAATAAACACCAAGTCCTGAAGCTGGAAAGAGCTTGATGTTTTCTAAGAAAGAAAGTATAAGGCATAGAGGGGACTGGGAAAAGTGTTGTGAGCGGAGACCACAGTAGAAGATCCTAAACTGCAGTCACAGTTAGTATTTTACTCCAAATAAGATGACAGGCTCTTACTGAAGAGTTTTACAGATGAAAATGATATAATGTGCCTCAAATTTTGTTTTTTAAATTCTACTGGGAGGAAGCAGCATTAAAAGGTATAAAACCAGCTGGAACTATTGTACTAATCTAAGCTTCAGATAATAGAGGTTTGGTCCAGGATGATACTGATGGTGATTGTACATGCGAGGATGTTACACAAAGTCTCATTTGTACCTTTTCCTAATGTGATTATCAATACACACCTTTTAACTCTTGAAAGTGTCTCCAATTGGATGACAAATAATATAGACATCTTGGAGATAGCAGTGGATATAGTGAGAGAAGATGAGAAATAGAATTCCAAGTGTTTGCTAACTGATTGGAAGTTATTGAGGGCAGAAGTGGTGAGTGAAGGAAAGGAAAAAAATCTAGAGCAGTGGTTCTCATTCAAAGGACATTTGTGCTCCATACGCTATCCCCATCCTAACACATACACAGAGAGAGAGAGAGAGAGAGAGAGAGAGAGAGAGAAAGAGAGAGACTCTAGCAATTTTGGCAATGTCTGGCAACACTTTGATCATCACAAATGGAGTGGGTATTCTACTGGCATCTAGTGAGTGGAGGCCAGGGATACTGCAAAGCATTTTACAGTGCATAGGATATATATATATATATATATATATATATATATATATATATATATATTTCTTCACCCAAAATATCAATTGTGCCCCGGTTGGGTAACCTTACTGTAAAATGGCATTCAGTTTTCTGGTGATAAAACTCAGCAAATGTTAGTAATGTTTTACACAAATAGGCAACTGAGAAGTGAATGCACCTCTTGGCAAAAGTAAAATATTTCATCTTAGCTGTATTAAATTTGAACTTCCTATAATACATACAAATAGTTACTTAGGAATTTTAAGTTCACACCAACTAGTACAAAATATGTGTTTCATCGTAAATGTCACTGGATGAAGGTGAAGAGATTTTCCTGTTCTGCAATTTCTTGGTAGGATTTCAAGTCTACCAAGTCTCTCGTAAGATTTAAAAGCAATATTGTTGGGACACATTCCTTCAGTTTACTTAATATAATTTTTAGATAAATACTGTTTCATGAAAAATACTCCCTAGTTCTTAGCTCCTTGCTTATAGTGAAAAGTAAACCCTATTTTCCAGTATCTGTTAATGAATATGGATTTACTTCATACAGTATTAAGAGCCTGATATAAACCATGAGTATATATTTTTCTTCTCCTCAAACTTTCAGACCAGTCCCTGAGTCAAGAAAGGTCATTGATTTAGCAATATTTAGTTTTCATACAGTTTTAAAAATTATACAGGAAGAACATTTTCAATGTGATTTTGTCACTGCAAGCTTCTCAATGGAAGCAAAGTTGGTGTCTGTGGTTAGCTTACATTAAAGACTCCTTAGTCACCAGACTCTTTGCTAGCCTTATGGTTGCAAAACCTTCAAAACTTATAGGTCAATGTGGAGGAGAAGGGCCAGAAACAAACATATACATATCCATTTCAGCAGGCTAAATACAATCTGTAAATTTCTTAAGACAGCAATAAGTGGATTAGCAGTACTAAGAATGGCTTTGCTTGGGGGAAGTTTGGAAGCTTTTCCAAAGATGTGTCATTTGATTTCAGTCTTGAAATATGCATATGAGTTCACAGGGAGGAGCACACATGGACATGTGCATGTACATGCACATACACACAAAAACGCAAACACACACATACACAAAGGAGGCAAGGAATTCTACATGGAGGAGTAACATGCAAAATCAGCCATTAAAAGTATATCATGTTAGAAATGCTTAAAATTCATGGCAAAAGCTATAGGAAGGAAGGTGCCAGGATCCGAAGCTGGATAGGTAGATTGAGGCATGATGGTGAGTGGCCCTGCATGCCACAATAACTTACAAATTTTGGAAGTCATGTAATAAACCAGAAATATAGCAGACTCAATTTTTGAAGGCAAAACTGCAGAAATATAAAAGACAAGAAGACTCAAAAGACAGTTACTTTGACATGGTCAAAGATTGTCCCAAGATAGCTGGCTTAGATTACTTAGATGAAGTTTATGCCATAAAACTAAGATGACAGCAGGGCAAATCTCAAGGACAAAAAGAGGCCAAGAAAGGATAAGAAAAGAGAAAAACCAGGAGAGAGTGGTCTGACAAACATGCAGGCGGAGGAGATTTCTTGAAGCAAAAGCTGCCAACAGTGTTAATGTAGTGAAATTGCCAAGTGTGCTGCAAAAGGGGAAACTATTGAATTTGGCAAGCATATTAGGTTATCGAATACCTTGGAAAAGTATTTGTATTTTTGGCAAAGTGATGCAGAAAGCCAGACTGAACTAGACTGAAAATAAAGTGGGGTCGCTGTGTGGAAATCCAGTGGAAGAGCAAGTGAGAAACATACAGTGGTAACTGCAGGGAAGAGAAAGGCAAGGTCAGGACACTTGAGTGCATTTTTAGATTGAGAGGACACAGCCAGTAGGAAAAGGAGATTTTGAGGCTGTTTCAGCAAGTGATGGCCTTGGGTGGAAGGAGGGGAAGGCAGGTGCTACTTCAGTAGTTTGGAAGTGGAGGAAAGGCTATTGGAGAGACCTCTTTGCCTGTGACCTGGCTTTCTTCTATGATTCAGGAAGCGTGGCTGGAAGGAGCAGAGACCCCATAGAGGATTCAGAAAAAGTGGTAAGAGTTTGTAAAATCATTTACAGAGACAGGTAAAACAAACTACAAGGAAATGAAAGTTCCGGTGAGTACTTTAGGAAGCCCAGTCAAGTTTACAACCAGCTATAAGGTCTGAGTCCTAGATTTTACACTTCAATGGACTGGGCGGATGACTTATCTCCACCTTCTGTTTTTCACAAACAAAATGAACAAAACAGTAATCCTTGTCTATTCATACTATCATGCAAATCAAATTAAATTATATTTATTAAAGTGACTTAAAATTGCTAAACACTATTCAAGTATATTGCCTTGGGCTTGTACACTTGAAGACATGACTTTTACATGTGTGACTACATAGCTTGGAACATTAAAAGGCTGGCCACCCAGTTGTGTCCTGCTCCTTTTATTGTTCTGTGGGTTTTTGGAAGGCAGCTATGCTCATCACTATATCACCAACACTGTTAGGTTGGTTCTTGTATTCAGCCTAATTTTCCATTGCTATCCTCAATGCCCCTAAACTGCATCCTATACCGTTTCCCTTGGCCATGGTCATGATGATGTACTTAAAGCTCTGTATTCAGGTATGTTCTGCTGAAACTCCTGAACACAGTGTCTACCACATTCCCTTTGCCTTGGTGCACTCAAACCATTCCAGCCTAGAAAAGGGAGTGACCTTGAGTGAACACAGAGTGAAGCAGGACATGCTGTACTGTTTAATAAAGTCCTTATGGTCTCCCGATATACTTATGGTAGAATGGCACACATGGCTTGTCACATGCTTGTGCGCACTACTGAGAGTATCAGGTCAACCAGTAAGCCATCAAATGGTAGTGTCTCAAAATACCACTAGGTATCATTTAATCTATTTTTTAATTTTACAGTTGAAAGAGCAAAAGTTCAGAGAAGTACTATACAAAGACTTTCCCCAAGTCTAATTAGCTACTTAGGAACTGAGAAAGAAAAAGCACTCAGGTCTACAGGACCACATTTCATGTCTTTGCTGTTAAGTTTGTCACTTTTCTTTGATGGCTTAAAACGCCCCAGTTCTAACCAGCAGACCCAAATGGACTTCCCCAGTAATTGTGGATCTTACCTTCTTTTTGGATAATCAAGCCTGCTCTTTCATCTCGTTTGTAAGCTGCTACCTGTTCAACCAATTTTTCAAATTTACTCAATGCTGCTCTGAAATTGTAAACCTGAAGTGAAAGAGGGCGCTTCTCCTTTGTGTCATCCATATGGACACAGTGAATGTTTTATTTAAGTACAGAACTAATACTGCAAATTTGCCAATGGGGAAAATCCTCCAGTTTTTACAATTGCCTCATTGCTGTCTCACGTTTTGCTTTATGTCTCATTCTTTGGATTTTAAAAATTCCATTCCATGGATTGCAGTAAGAGTTCCCAGTAGGATGTTAGCAGGACAGCTGGCTTATGTGTTCATATGGACAAACAGAAGTCCTGACCTCATAATGTTACCAGTGTTCTTCATGTGGTCCTCATTGCATCATAATATTTCCCCTCCCTAGAGAGGGAGAGAGGGAAGGAGGGAAGGAGGTATGAAGGAGGGAAGGAGAGAGAGAGAGAGAGAGAGAGAGAGAGAGAGAGAGAGATCAGCTAGCTCAAGGGAGACAATTTGCTTTAAACTAAGAAAAAGACATTTGGGAGGAACCTGAAAAGAAGTGAGGTACCAAGTCAGGAGGTCCTGAGATAACATGTGCTTGACCTCCCTGAGAAATATCAAGACCAATGTGGCCAAAAGGGTGTGGGATGGAAGAGAGAGGTAGAGAGATAAGGGCAGAGTCAGGAGATGCTGGTCAGATTATGTAGGAGGCTGCTGTAAGGACTTTGGCCTTTACTGTCTTTGAGTGAGATGGGAAGTTTGAGGGCAGAATGGTGATGTAATTGCTCTAGCTGCTTTGTGAAGAATAAAATGAAAGGGCTAAATGGCAGAGCAGAGAACCAGCTAGGTGGAGATTTCAGTAACGCAAACAAGAGACAATAGGTCAGTATGTGGATTGTATTTACATGCTGAATCCACAACCAAACTGGAAATGATCTGCAACAGTTAACAATTGCAAGCTAGACTGCTAACTAGATATCTGGTATTAAGAAATAATTGTTCCGGGGCTGGGGATTTAGCTCAGCAGCATAAGCGCCTGCCTTGCAAGCAGGCAGTTGTGAGTTTGATCCCCGGTACTGATAAAAAGGAAAAAGACAAAAAAAAAAAAAAAAAAAAGAAATAATTGTTCATTGCATTGTTTAATTATATTTTATGTTATATTGTTTGTCTTAGCATATTCTTGCTGCTCTAACAAAATACCTTAGACTGAGTAATTTACAAATATCAGATAGATATTTCTGATAGTTCACAAGGTTGGAAAGCCCAATATCAAGGCTTCCTCAGCTTCAGTGTCTGGTAAGGGCCCTATCCCTCATAGATAACAAATACGGCTCTTTGCAGGAGGAGAAAACCAGTTCCCTCAATCTCTTTTATAAGGGGCTTTAATCCCATCTATGAGAATGAAACCCTCCTGACATTGTCACCTCCCTCAAACTCCTCCTCTTAATACTGTCAACATGGTAATTAGGCTTCAACATATGAATAGAGGACACAAACACTGATAGCACTGATTTTTTTGGTAATGTTATGTTGTGTAGTTATGTATTCAAAGTGTTTACAAATAATTAAGTACGAAGAAACATACAGTGCTTTGTGCAAGGTATTGCTGGTAGTTTTCACAAGGTGAGTGAAACTTAGCTATTGGAGTATGGATTATATTGACCTTGAGAAAAGTTACAGTCAGTGAAATAGTTAAGAGAGTTAAGAGATGAAGTATGGAGGCAGGGATAAATATATTAGGCTTTTAGGGCCATCTTTTTTTTGGTACCTGGGATTGAATTTATGATGTCACACTTGTCAGGCGAGTGCTTGTGCTGCTGACCTAAATCCCCTGCCCCAAAGTTAATTTTTTTTGTACCAGGAGTCGAACTCAGGATCTTGCGCTTGGCAGGCAGGCACTGCACCACTGAGCTATACTCCTGGCTTTTGGGGAACATCTTTAAGATGTTTGCTGAAGCAATTCACAGTTATTATGGTCACTTATAGAGGACATAATTGTATTTTCTTAATTACAAAAATGATACATTATAAATTTAAAGAACATAAAGAGAAATCCCTCATATTTCCACTATCTCAAACTATTAATTTTTAAAAATGTAGGCCACATAGTTTAAACAGAACCATGTGCACTATTCCAATTTTACTAAATTATTTCATAAAATTCTAATAGCTTTTGTTAGTATAATTTTCCTTTTTAAAATCTATTTTCCTCAAAGGTTATTTTATTACTTTTTTACATATAAATGACCATGAAGGTAAGTGATTTACAAAGAAAAAGAAGATGCAAGCAATAACACTGTCAGAAAAATACAATAGGAAAAAAATCTAGGCAGGCTGGATTTTCTGCAGTAGTTTGGCTTCAACGCCCATGAGTAGTATGAGAGCCAGGTATAGAGGTCAGCAGGTGAGATTACCCACGAGGTCCAGGGTTTAACCTCAGCTGATCTGGCATGTGGGCCAGGTAGAAGCCATCTGTAGGAATCCTGTCGGAGACATGCGTTGTTTTATGTTACCTACTTCTACTTCACCATGTCCAGCTCAAGTCTCTCCTGATGAATGTATAGAACGAGTATTCTCAGGTGACGACTGAGGAAGGGCACAGAGAGAGAGGAGACTCTGGGCAGGCTCACTCAGGCATTGTCAAGCTTTAAAAGCTGGCATGTGACAGAGGCATCTTGGTAACTACACTCTTCCATGTGTTTGTCTCTAGAGCCATGTTGCTGAATCATGGACTAATTCCTTACAGACAACTGGAACACAGCTCTCATACTATCTCTCCTCTTTCATATTTTGGGAACTTCCTCATCCTCAAGACTGTATCTTCTGATGTAATGCTGATGCCCGTCCTCATTTTGGAGGCTTCCATAGAGAAACAGTGCCTGGGTGGTACTTTTTCTTCTCAGGGCAACGGCAAGTGCTCTACCACTGAGTTATTATGTGTTCTATCATGACAAGCTGCTTCACTGCAGACCCCAAAGCAACATGGTCAACCAATAATGGACTAAAACTAGTTTCCAAAACTATGAGTCAAAATAACCTTTTTCTCTTTACAGGTTGATTATCTCTGGGGTTTGTTATTTTGATGGAAAAGTAATTAATAAGAACCGGAAGATTATAAATGAGATTTCATTTTAAAAACATATGTATGTAGTTTGGTGGGGTAAAGACAGTACATAGTTTATACATTAAACAGATACCTATATTTTACCCATCTGAGGAGATATATACACAGAAATGATAGTTAGAACTTAAAAGATGCTAGATTCTCTTTTTCTTAAATACAATTATAGTCCTAAAACAGAAAAAAGGTACAGCTATATTGGGCAAGATTTTCTGAAGGGCTCTTCTGTTTCTCAACAAGGACCAAGGTTAAAGGATAGAGAATGACGTTTCCCCAGCCCTGGGAAGATTACTTGATTTAGTAAGGGTTGGAGTTCTTTCGCAGCTGACACATACATAACCCAGAAGGTTACAGATGATCAGTTATTTAAAACAAGCATGGCAAAGAAAAGAGAGGCCATTCTGCTTCTACACATGTTGTGAAGGACATTCTTGGAACAGATTGTGATGATTTAGTACTCTGGTGTAGGAAGCGATTAAATGAACTTTTTTGACCTTGGGAGTAATCTCATAAAACAAAAAGGCTTAAAGAATCCCTACATTCTAAAGAAAGCTCGGGCAAGAGGAGGCGTGGAGGCACTGGGAACCAGTTCTATGTGCCTCCAAACTACTTAGGAGAATGTGACAGGTTATTGGGAGATTGAGGACATCCTTAATGAGCACTTGGAGAAGCCATCACTTTGCTTCACTTGTTTCCATGCAAGGGGCACTCACTGGAGAGACTCGGGATAGCCCGCTCTTTACAGACGACCACTTTCTGAATTGGGTGGGCCAGGGATGGATTCTTATTCACAGACAGCCAGATGTTAGCCTCTGAGAAGAGGAAACAAACTGGGTCATACTGGGAGAAGCCCTTGTGGGGAAGATTACCTGAACTATTTCATTAACCCTTAGCACGGATTGAAAGGGAAACCAAGCACATTGATAAAGTTTTAGTTCTGTCAAGGGAGATGTGTTTAGGTTTCTAAAGAGTCACTATAGATAAGAAAAACACACCATTTAAAATCTGACACGATCAGAGGGTACCAACATCAGAGGATGGTATAGATTAAAAACTGGTGGTCAACTTAATGCCAGTGGAATTAAATCATTATGGTGATGAGTGTAGATGTTTCACCTGAGGAAAGTTGCCAGCATAAATAGAGATGTGGAGGAGGAGAAGAGAAGCTTTGAGGCATTGAGGCATTGTGGCATTGTGGGTTCTCCTACATGTTGCTGTTTGAACTGTTGGTTCTCCTGCAGAAGCTCTGGTCCATACATTGAGCATTGCTTCCTGGCTCCGGAGGGGAAGACATGCGCTGCTTGGTCTCCAGGATGAACTCATCATGCTGGCTTCCTGGCATGTACTCGACTATGCTTACCGTCGGAGGAGCTCGGGACCTCCGTGCTCAGGATGGCTGTGGAACTTTTCAGGACATCCCTGGTCTTTATCATGAGCATGACTTCTTGGCTCCAGTATAGAACCCTCAACCTACCAGTAGAGCTCCTTCACCCTGCTCGCATAGACTTCCTGGCTTCCGCCACTGACCTCTGGGCCTTCCCAGCACGGATCTGTAAAAGAGACTTGGCATGAGACTGATGTGAGACTGGCTCTAGACCAGTTGGACTTGTGGGAGGCATTGTCATAGCTCTGGGTCTTTATCTGGACTCATACAGGACATTGCTGTGGGATTCAGGCCCTTGGTTGAGTAGTCTGTCTTTGGTGTTGTGGATAGATTTCCTGCAGTTTCTTGTGTTAACTCTGGGTGACCATCATAAAATAATATTACTGAATTCCATGTCCTGTTTTTAATTGTTCTCACAACCCCTGTCTACAACAGAGGACAACTTTACCTATCAAATCTCAGGAAAGCAAGAGAGTATAAAGAGTAGTGGGTCAGGAAATAGAAGTTGAACTTGCTGTCTTTCCTACTGCTGCATGTACATAGTAAGCCAAGATTTACAGTAAAAGCTTACATACATGGTCAATTGATTTTCAATAAGACTGCCAAGACCATTTAGCAGGGAAAGGACAGCCTTTCCAACTAATGCTGGAGAAACCATCTACCCACACACAAAAGAATGAAGCTGGACTCTGATGTTACATCATACATAATATTAACTCGAATCAAAGACCTAAATGTAAGAGCTAAATCTATAAAACTGCACTTACTTTTAAAGTGGTAGTATCTTGCCACTATCTAATCACAGACAGTTAACTCACACTCATAAATGTGTAAGTCTGAAACTGACAAGAAACATTACTGACAAAGGAAATCATACGTGTGATACCTTTTCTGAAAGCTTTAAATGTTTGTCAAAAGCTTTTCTTCTTCTTTTTCATTCACTGCTATTATTCCTTTTGTGTAGGCACTGTCCAGGAGTTTACTCTGATACTGCAAAAAAAAAAAAACACTATCTCTGCCTTCCATCCTACTTTCATTCTGCCCCTGCCACGTTAGCTTTCCTGTTGTTCCTCCAATACTCCAAGCACAGACTCACTTCAGTACATGGACCCTGTGTGTGAAATATTTGGTTAGTACTATCCTTAATCACACTGGGATTTTTTGTTTGTTTGCTTGTTTCTGTAGCACTGGAGACTGAACCTAGGGCCTTTACGCTGAACTATATCCCCATTTTTTATTTTGAGACAGGGTTTTAATAAGTCACTAAATTGCCCAGGATGGCAATCCTCCTGCCTCACCTCTCAGAATGCTGGGATTACAGGTATGCACCACCATGCCCCATCCCACCATATCTTAATAATAATCAACTTCTCCTCTTCCATATATGTTGTCTGCCTCATAATACATTACAATGCTTATAATCTGAAGTCTCACATTTGTTCTAATTTTATTATTATCTACACTCCCAACAATGCTAGCTTGTAAGCTTTATGAGAATGTAAGTTTTATGAGGCAGGGACTCAACACCAAAGAATGAGTGAAATATTTTGAAAACAGTACATAAAATAAGTCATTCATTCATTCATTCATTCAACTAATACTTTGAGAACTTACTGTAGGGGAGGCACTATGCTGAAAACACAGTAAACATGAGACATACGGAACTTGTTAAATGTATGTCTAAAATATAAAATAAAAAGATTTTGAGGCTGGATGGCTAGTCCCATAAATGACAAGTCTAAATTAGAAGCCTTAACCGTCTTGTGGCTATTGTTCAACACAACAGTATGAAAAACTTACCATCAGGCGATTTAATTCTCTCTGGGAAATCTGGAAGTGGAATTCACTGACGCTAGACATTCCTGACTGACCTTTTGCGCCCAAGTGGGAGAGGCAAACACCCCCTCGAGGTGGGGCAATTACATAAGCTTTTACTTTTGCTGATCATCAGTTCCCCAGGACATCTTGAACCTGGGATTTGGTGAGGCCTTCTTAGAAGACTGTGCAGAACAGAGGCAAAGACACCCTTGAAGAGTGCAATCACGTTCACAATCTATATTTGACTTGTACTATATTTTCATTGCTACTGGGGAAAAGGCCCAGTGGAAAATGTGTGCTGTTCTAAATATAGCACCTGCTTCTCTATACCTGCCAGATTTAGGTTGAAGCTTTGGGGGCACAGCCCAGGCAGTCACCTCCAAGAAGGGCTTCAGTTCAGGTCAGATCTGTCCCTGACTCAGGGCAGGTCAGAAGGAAATGGGGTGTAGCGTGAGTCTTAACCTCCGTCCTCTTCTAATGCTGCCCTTCCTGGTCCCGAATCTCTGAGGGTGACAAGCGTCCCTCCTCTCCCTGATGCAGCCCACAGTTGTCCCCCAGCTCTCAAGTACTCTGACAGTTAACCTTTCTTCTCCCCCCATTTCGTTGTTTCTACTATTGCTTGGTCAGCGTCCTCTCCCAAGCTTTTCGATCTGTTATTTTCTTGTTTTCAGTAAGTTAGGGGAGGGGAGCATTATTACAGCTTTTCAGGAAGAGAAGTCTAGGGTGGGTACTGGCCTCAATAATCAGTATTTATGAATGAACGAGCGAAGGGACATGCTTTCAAGCTAGGTGCCGGGAGACATGGTGCCAGGGAGCCAGTGATACAGTGACTTCCCTTCCGTCTCTCCCATCCTCCTGACTCGGCCCGCGCGCGTGCACGCCAGGGTAGGGATAAATGGCACAGCGACTAGCATCCCGAACTAGGCAAGGAGGACACAACGCGATGGACCCGGCTGAGCGCGCACAAGTAGGCGGGGACGCGCACGCCACACGGGGCGTGGCTACGGGAGCGCCGTAGAGGGCGGGGCGCGCACGCGGGAAAGGGGTGGAGCCACGAAGGCGCGGCGGAAGAGGCGGGGGAGGGCGGTCCCGGCGTGCGGCGCCCGCCAGCACAATGGCCAAAGCCCGCGGCCGAGCTCCAGCCCCACCCAGTGCGCTGTGCGCCGCGGGCCGCCCCACTTGCTGTGTGGGCGCCGGGCCATGTACTCGGGGAACCGCTGCAGCGGCCAGGGTTACTGGGAGGGCGGCGGGCCCGAAGACCCGGCGCCAGCGGGGACGCTGAGCCCCGCGCCGCTCTTCAGCCCGGGCGCCTACGAACGCCTGGCGCTGCTGCTTGGCTCTCTCGGGCTGCTGGGCGTCGGCAACAACCTGCTGGTGCTCGTCCTCTACTATAAGTTCCAGCGGCTGCGCTCTCCCACCCACCTCTTCCTGGCCAACATCAGCCTCAGCGACCTGCTGGGGTCCCTCTTCGGGGTCACCTTTACCTTCGTGTCCTGCCTGAAGAACGGCTGGGTGTGGGACGCCGTGGGCTGCGTGTGGGACGGGTTTAGCAGAAGCCTCTTCGGTGAGTCGGCCGGGAGGGAACGCTTCCTTCCCCTCCTCGCAAACTTCTCTTTCCGCCTTGCCACAGCCTCTGTGCGTCCCCCGGTCCCGCTCGGCCTCAGTACCCGCTTCCCTTCCCGCCACCTCCCGCCCGCAACTTCGCGTCCCCCTCTCCCTCCGCGCATTCTCGACCCGAGCCCCCAGCCCGCCTTTCTCCTTGGTCTCCTGCACCCGCGCTGCCCACACGCCACTTCCTCACCCTACGCCGACCCGAACCCGCCCTGCCCCAGCTTTTCTCTCCTCCAGCCTCCCCGGAACACCCCGGACGCTGGCGAGCTCCGCTCCTTTCATCTCATTTCTCCGTTTTCACCCTCTTGATACAGTTCAGCAAGGGCTTTCAGTTTGGTGGGGAAAGGGCCTGCGGAGTCCAGAGGTTCAAGAAAAAAATGTGACTAACTCGTGGAAATTGGAAGAGGGAACTAAAAGATTTAATTCTGTGCTATTAGTTTCCTGAAATGAAAGATGGAAACCTAAAATAGAACAGTGTATATATATATATATATTTTTTTTTTTTTGTTCATTAGCGGTTGTAAACTTTAGAATGCTTCCCAAAGAGTGACATGGTTTCATTCATGTCCCCAGAATACAAAACGGCATGTGCCCTATAAGCTATTTTTACTGTATTTTCTTCCTAGGTTGTACCTTACCTAAATCTAAATTGAGATTACCTGTGCCTCAGAGAATCCCATCTCAAGTGAACAAATTGCCGTGCAGTCGGTAGGTTTCATTAACGTAGAACTTGGTAGTTAATTGAAGATTTATTTCTAAAATACTTAATCATTACAGAAGATTTAAGTCTCAGATTTGACTTTTTGAAGACCAACTCAGTATATGATAAGCTTGGGAAAGAAATTATTTTTTTCAGTGCGCCCCTGGAATTTCATTCATACTAACATTTGAAACGGAAATGTGTATTTCTCAGGTTTTAAGGTTCCTTTATAAATCTTGAAATCCACTGATAGTTTGTAACTGCTTTTATCTTGGCAGATCCTGGAGCGCAGTCTTTGTAGCATTATCACAAATACTTATAATCCAGCCTCCTGTGCTTTGACAAACCCAAATACTGTGGTGTTGTAATGATTCATTTTTTTTAATATCTTTAAGGAAACAAGATATCAAGTCATGATTCATTTATTTGATTGCCTCAATGATTCTAATATTCTCTTCCCAATAAACATAAATCTGAAAATTTCCTGTGTACACAAATTTGGAACCTGGGGAGGATACTCTATAGTTAATGTAGGTGATGATACAGGTGGTTATGTAATTACACTTTTCACATTAATTACCTAACAGGCAAATCTTTAGGCAGGCCAAGCTTTAAAGAAGGGGATTCTAGTGCAAGCCTGAAGTGTCATGATTAATGCTGTCTTACATGGGCATCACATGTCTGTTCACAGACATTAAAGTTCTTATTTCCATAGAGTGCCTTTTCTCTGTTCAGATATTCTGTTTCTGCACCTGGGAGTTTGAAAACAAGGATGCACTGAAATTTTTGTAAGTGCTGGCATCCACTTTTTTGTTCCTTCTGCAATACCCACTCTTTGGTATCTCCTGCTCTCTTTCCTCTGTGCTTTACCATTCCTGGTGGAATCCCTTTCTGTTCAGAAATTATTTTGTGAGACTGCTTGAAATTATCATCTATTTCTCAGGCATTTTTAATTAATGCTTTCAACTGCAACTATATTCATATTTTAGAATTAAGAGATAGACGCTCAAGTTAGAGGATCGGAGATTTGATTAAACCCCGGAGACAAGACTGAGTGAGGTTATTGTGGGCTTAAAATGTTCTTGGTAAAGGTAAAAAATTTTTGTGCCTAGATTGTGCTTCTGGATTGAGTTCCAGAAGAAGAAAGGGAAAATAATACTTTCCCTGAGCAATAACTAACCATAAAGAAATATGAAGGGGGGAAGAAATTTTAAAATGCCAGAAGTAGCTGGTTGCTCCAGAGGATTTGGAAAGGCTGCCTTATCTGGGGGGAAAACCACTGGTCTAGTGGCAAAAGGTTGGGCCTCTGTTCTTGATCCTGTGGCTGACTGATTGTATGGGGTTTCCCAATTCAATTAAGTATCTCCCAGCAAAAGTTTTCTCATCTTTTTCAAGGAGTAGTTGAGCTTAATGTTCTTGGAGCTGATTGCGCTTTGTATTTTGAGGAGTCTTGATTTCAGCAGGTTAAGAAGAGTCTTGGGATTTATGATCTGTGTATTTATCTCTACTCCCAGTCTTAGCCTTGCCCCCTGCCTAGCCAAGAAAAGCACATATTGGGGTTACACTTCTTAGATTTTGTCTTCCTCTTCACACCTGCTGGAAGGCCAGATAAGTAATAGAGAAATACATATGTGTATGCGCAAGTAGACTAGTAGACCAGACAACTAACTGCTTTACTCTGTGCTCAAATCCTGGCTTCTCAGAAAATGCTGAAAATAATTGGAATCTCTGGTATTCTTGAGGTAGAATATAAGTGGATAGGATTGTTAGAATTAGCACTTCAGTTAAATTGCCAGGCAGATCAGTGACATAGTTATGTAAACATAATTGGATGGCTTATTTTACCAATATCCAAAATAAGCATATTTGTTAACCCTTGGCAGGTCCAGCTTACACCACTTAGATTTTTTTAATAGATTTAACAATAGTGAATGTTAGACTTAAAATAAAACCCTCACTGTTACTGTGCAATGATGAACCATAGAAAGGCTAGAATTGTGCACAGTGCAGTCCCAGAAGACTTCAGGTAAGTTAAGTTCTTCAGGTCATTGACTATCCCACTTCTGGCCACACCTAAGCTCACACAGGTGTTCTCCATGTGGAGTACAACAAACATGGTGCTAATGTTAGCAGAGATTTTCTTCACTATCCTTTCAAAAATAAGAATAGTAGCATGTTAGTCTTGGCAGAGGATATTTAAAAAAAAAAAAAAAATGCAAACATCACTCTTTTCAAATGTTAGAAATAGAGTTTTTAAAAATGTTTATTTTAATGTATGAATAGGAATTTTTTAAATGTATGAAACACTTGCACATTGTCATCCATATAAAGATGTTTTAAGTACCTTTTATTCCTCTGGCATGTACCTAAATATTTTTAAATACCAGGTGTTTTACTGAATTCTTTGTGATAATCAGCAGGGTTAGACCAAAAGGTCTCTTATTGCTGCCCCATGTCCTGAGTTTGTTTGGACCTTTAAAAGGTCTATTCAGCTGTTTTGAAATCACCCATATTGTTTCTTGGCCCTCTGAAACGTTTCTTGCTTGTGATTGTAGATCCAGAGTATATTTGTTTCCATAAACACAGTGAAGCTAAACATTTCTTTTAGTCTAAGCTCATACTGTGTATAGTCTTATTCAAGTATTTTATTTTTGTTTGTTTTGTTTTTGTTTTTTGAGACAGTCTCCTTATGCGGTTTGGACTGATCTTGAACTTACTGTGTAGCCTAGGCTGGCCTTGAACTTGCAGCAGGCATCATGCCTCAGCCTTCCAAGTCCCAAATGCTGGGATGACAGCCATGTACCACCATGCCCAATTCATTCTGATATTAAAGCAAGGAATTTTATTTTTTAAAATTTTTGTGGGACAATATCTGTTCTTTATTATTGCATTGCCTAATGTGGGGGTGGAGGGTATATTTCTGTTGTTCTTTTTTAAGAAATTAGAAAATATGTGAGAAAGCCTTTCATGACTTGTGTAGGAGAGGTTTGTATCCAGATAACAAGTCAGGCCCCAATGGATTATAATTGCTGTTGCATGAAATTACTTTTATATTGTTTACAATTGTATTCTTTCTTGAATTTTCTTCTTTCAGAGAAGAGTTCCAGTCACAAATGCATATGTGATGTATTTTGGCATTTACTGCTAAGATGAAATTCAGGAATGAAAACCACACATCCATTTTAGCATTCTCAGATGTGATTAGATGTACTTTGTCATGTTTCTATGCTCCTGACTTATTAAAAAAAACTTAAAAAGGGTAACAAGTTAAACAGCTAGGACCTGGAAACTCAGTACCTCGGGAAGAACTGGAACATTTCAAGGAGAGATTTTATTACAGCATCCTCACACCTCAGCAGAGCTTCAGCCTAGATTTATTCTTCATCAGCAGCTGTTACCTGAACCTTTACCTCCTACGATGGCAGACAATCTTCCCACAGAGTTTGATGTGGTTATAATAGGGACAGGTTTGCCTGAATCTATCCTTGCAGCTGCATGTTCAAGAAGTGGACAGAGGGTTCTGCATGTTGATTCAAGAAGCTACTATGGAGGGAATTGGGCTAGTTTCAGCTTTTCGGGATTGCTTTCCTGGTTGAAGGAATATGAGCAGAACAGTGACACAGAGGAAGAAACTGCAGCTGCATGGCAAGACTTAATCCATGAAACAGAAGAAGCCATTGCTCTTTGCAAGAAAGATGAGACCATTCAGCACACAGAAGTTTTTTGTTATGCCAGCCAAAATGCAGAGGACAGTGTTCAAGAGATTGGTGCTCTGCAAAGAAATGCTTCCTCAGTGGCATCTAGTACCCTCACTGAACCTCTGCATTCTGCAGAGTTGCCTCAAGAAGGGCACTCATACATTACTAGCAATGAATTACCTGCTGAACATACCCCCAAAAGTGAAAGCACGATTTCATTAGAAGAAACTGATGTAGAAGAATCACCAGAGAAAGAAAGGAACTGTGAAGATAAAACTTGTATGCCTCCAGTTTCAGATGGAGATAAGGTTGAAAATAAACCTTCTATAGAGGATAATACCAATCAACCAAAGAGAAATGTGATTACTTACCCACAAATAGTTAAAGAAAGCAGGAAGTTTAACATTGATTTGGTATCAAAGCTGCTGTATTCTCAAGGATCACTGATTGAACTTCTAATCAAATCAAATGTTAGTCGTTATGCAGAATTTAAAAATGTCACTAGGATTCTTGCATTTCGGGAAGGAAAGGTAGAACAGGTGCCTTGCTCCAGAGCAGATGTCTTTAATAGCAAAGAACTCACTATGGTTGAGAAGAGGATGCTAATGAAATTTCTTACATTCTGTTTAGACTATGAACAGCATCCTGATGAATACCAAGATTTCCAGCAATGTTTGTTTTCTGAGTACTTAAAAACTAAAAGACTAACCCCCAATCTCCAACATTTTATACTACATTCAATTGCAATGACATCAGAATCATCTTGCACTACATTAGATGGCCTTAAAGCAACAAAAAACTTTCTTCAGTGTCTTGGACGGTTTGGCAACACTCCCTTTTTATTTCCTTTGTATGGCCAAGGAGAAATTCCTCAATGTTTTTGCAGGATGTGTGCAGTTTTTGGTGGAATCTATTGTCTTCGCCATAAAATCCAATGCCTCGTAGTTGACAAAGAATCTGGAAAATGTAAAGCAGTTATAGATCACTTTGGTCAAAGAATAAATGCTAACTATTTTATTGTGGAAGACAGTTACCTTTCTAAGGAAACATGTGCAAATGTGCAGTATAAGCAGATCTCAAGGGCAGTTCTTATTACAGATCAGTCTATACTAAAGGCGGATTCTGATCAGCAGATTTCCATTTTGATAGTGCCTCCAGTGGAACCAGGAGCTTGTTCTGTTCGGGTCACAGAATTGTGTTCATCAACCATGACATGCATGAAAAATACCTATCTAGTACATCTCGCCTGTGAATCTTCAAAAACAGCAAGAGAAGACTTAGAATCAGTGGTGAACAAATTGTTCACCCCTCTTGCTGAAACAGAAGTAGATAAGGAAGAACTTAGAAAACCAACACTCTTGTGGGCTCTTTATTTTAATATGAGAGATTCCTCAGGAGTCAGCAGAAGCTCGTATTGTGGCTTACCTTGCAATGTTTATGTCTGCTCTGGACCTGACTCTAGACTGGGAAGTGAGCATGCGGTCAAGCTAGCAGAAACAGTGTTCCAGGAGATCTTTCCAAGTGAAGAATTCTGCCCTCCTCCTCCAAATCCAGAAGATATCATCTTTGATGGTGATGATAAGCAACCAGAGGCTCCTGAAACCAGTAATGTAACTGTGGCCAAGGTAGAATCTTCTGAAGAAAGCAAAAACCTAGAAGGCGCCCTTTAAAACTAGAAAATAGCAAACTGGAGTTGTACTTCATCTTGGCATCAGAATATTCTCATTTGAAGGACAATTTTCCATATGACTAATGAGGAGTGGTTATATGAATACTATGCAGATGTTGTCTTTAAGTCCTTTTGAGAGATTGGCTGTTGAAAGTCTTTGTTAATCAGTAACTGATTTATTTGGTTATTGGACTTTGTGGTTCAGAATCAGCTCCATGATTCAGAAACTTAAAACAGGGTTAGCTGTATCTTAATATTGGATACATATGTGAGAGTTCCATGTTAGTGACTTTGCTTGAAGATAAAACTGTTACCATTACTGATCTTCAGATTTTATCATTGTCCACAGAATAATTAATATAAGAAATACAGATTTTATCATTGTCCACAGAATAATTAATATAAGAAATACAGATTTTATCATTGTCCACAGAATAATTAATACAAGAAATACATTAGTTCATTTTGCAGCTATTACAGTTGCTACCACCTTTCATAGAAAAACAAATAATCATTATGTAAGTATTGTATATAATATAAATAATGTAGACTTAGAACAGTAACTAATAAAAGTGCCAGTATGATAAAAGTATATTTGTCTGTAATTATTAAAAGATTAGTTTTGCATGGTCCTTATTCTCTGTGAAGGCCATGTGTTTACATTTTCCACTTTAATTTGCCTACTTAGCCCTTGTAACCAAGTGAAGCAATGACATCACCATAGTCTTTACAAAAAGAAACATTATTCAATAGTTGAAGAGCTCATCTGGGGGACATATATTCCAAGGATTAGGGGATAAGATCAGTTAAAAAAAAATCTGTAGAACCCTGTTCTGGCACCTGAAAAAAACTTCCAACAGGCAATTCTAGCTAAAAGAAAAATTTGTTTACCCCACATACTTCAGATGGTTGTTCTGAAATTACTAAAGAGAAACAGAATGAAGCATTTGAGACTACAGATAATTTTTTTAATCCCTAAATAATTTCTCATCTAAGTTTTCTCAATGGAATGCACCACCTGTTGGCAATACTACTTTTAATGTATAGAATTAATCAGTAGGATTTATTGTGCCCCTAAGGTTGTATCTCACCAGAAATATAGGTAACAGCATTCATAATCACTTCTGCCTCTTGACAGTTGTCTGTAGAGAATAGAAATTTTGTTTTCCTGTACAACCACTGGAAATCATAAATCTGGTTGTACTCCAGTGTTGACAACTTGCAGGACTGTCAGAAGAGGTGAACTTCCTCAGTCAGTCTGATTTCCATGTATCAGGAAAAAAATAATGGTCCTTTAATAGTTTTTGCTCTGACATGAAGCATTTACTGTGCATTAGATACTTACTGTGTTTTCTATAACTTTCTCAACAGCATTATAAGGCAGATATGGCATACCTTCAGATTAATTTGGTGTGGAGAAGCCAATATCAGAACCTAACCTAGTCTGTCATGATCCCTAAGTCTTTTATCTTTTCATGAATGTTCACTGTAGTTACTGTAAAAGAAGTAAAAGTGCCTGAGAAAATCAGAATCTCATTGTTCAGAAACGAGTATAGACAGATACTAATTCTGTAGCATATTCTAGAATCAAACATTAAATGTACATTTAGAGCTGTGAATCTTAAAACAATTTGGCTGAGTTAACAAAATAATGCTGTTTGGTAATATGTCAATCTGAAGATTGTGTTATCAAAAATGTAAATATGCCAACATACATTCTTTTCTTGCTCTTCTAGTATGAGGAAAATGAGACAAGACTGATTTAAGTAATAACTTATTAAAAGTGGAAAAATCATGGCTTGGTATTCACATTGATGTTCTAAATGTGGTAAAGTATTGTTGAGTGGCTCAAAACATCAAAATAACTAAAATGTTTGATAACCTACAAATAGTGATTAAACAATTTTTTAAAATCTGAAGGTAAAAATAGAGGCAAAATTAATTCAGACCCGCAGAAAAGTTTTTCAGAAACAGATTATTCATAAGAAATAAAAAATGGTGAGACTTTATAAAAGGTTATAATGGAAATATGCAAAAGTATACTAGACCCAAGATAAAGATCATTTTAAAAACGAACAAAATGAATATATTATTTCCTTAAACTGATGTAAAATAAATTGGAAATGAGGCAAGTTTTAACCAATAAACATTTAATAATTTATGGGATATTATAATCCAGTGTAATCTCCTGACAAGTTAGAATTTAACTCTGCTTGGCTTATTGGTCACTTTTTAAATGTTTAAGGAATAAATACGTAGGTATCATAAAAGATGGTATGCTGCTAATTGTATTTGCAGACAAGTATAACTTGTAATGCAGACTACTAATCTCTGTTCATCAAAAAGAACGATTTTTATTTTCGTTTGATCATATTTTCATGTCCGTATCTTGTAATCTGAGCAACTACTTTGACTAACAATATGTAGTATATTACCACTGTTAATATCTTACTTGTTTTGAAATTCTGTAGTTTTTATTTTATCATTTTAAAATTAAAAAAAAATTAACCCAAATATAAAAAGGTTCTCATTTTGAACAGACAAAAAGTGCCAAGTGAAATTTTGACACAGTACAGCAACAAATAAAAAATTATTTCCTATGACTCAAAATTGTAATACTAATGTTGAGTAAAATAATCATTACATCAATATCAATAGAACGAAATTGTGAAAATCCAAAGTATTAACTACATTAGCCTTTTAAAAATTTGCCCTTCATCTTTGGTTATTGGTGCTAGTGAGTTTATAGGCTTCTCATAATGTGATAAATAACTACTTAAAATTAAGAGCTGACAATTTGGGAAACCATACATTTCTCAAATTAAGCAGTGCTGGCACTATATTTACATATGGTTGAAAAAACACTGAAAGTTTTAAACATTTACAAAATAAAGACAAAGCAGCATATTTTCTGTTTACATGTCTATAACTAGCCATACTGATACATAAATATATTAATAGTAAATGACTGAGGAATTTGCAGGTTGTGTGAGGTAAGGATCCTGTTTCTAAAGTGTGCGGTTTAAAAATATTTGAGTATTAATATATGTATAAATCATTTAAGGAAAGTTACATACAATATTGGGATAATTTTTAAAAGATACATAAAAGATTGAAAGCGAAACTCAAAATATGAGAATACATGAGACAAGTCCTAGTATAATGGAAAAATAATAGGGAGTCTTTGCATCACTTCTTACCTGTTATCTTGGGAAGATCACCTTAGCTTACATTTCTCCATCTACAATAAGTAATTAGAATTATCCTGGGGATTAGTTAATGTGTATAAAACCACACCCAGATGAATGCTAATATGTGACATACAGATTTAGTATAGTAGTATTTAACATTCCAACTGAACGTTTTATGCGGTGACAGTGTTGGTGATGTAAGGATTTTTTTTTAAGTTTAGATTTGAAAACTGGGAGTTTCACTTTTCAAATTTTTATTGTGTTAAGCAGTCTTTCTATATATTTTGTGACTAGAATGTTTAAGATTAATAAAACATTTGGAAAAAGGTATTTTACTAAAAGTAAAATGAACCAGCTGGATCAATGGAGATACTAGGTCCACTTGTCATATGATAATTTTATTTCAGAAGAATGACGATGTTACATATAAAAGAAAAATAAGTATTTTCATTGCAATAGTAGTGCAAAGATTTCGTGGCAGTGAAAAAGCATTAACAAGGTAGATCTCTTTAAAAAAAGAATGAAGAGTGTATACTAAAGGAAAGGTGGAATAAAAAAGCTGTTTGGATTCACAAGTGTTTTAATATTTTTTTAAAGTGGATGGAAATCTTTAAGACTTTGTATACCTTAGTGGGTAGATTTATAAAGAATATAAATAATACAAGTAATTCTTAGAATAATATTCGAATCAACTATTAAAAGTGAAAATAGAAACAACTTTGACCTAGTTCATGCTGTTATATTGAGCAAAAATTTTTAAGTGTGCATGTGTCTTTATACTGAAAGTATTGTATATTAGTAGTCATTAAAAAAATGAGGACTAATGAGCTCTATGCCTTTTAACATACTAAGTCACTTTGGGTATACCCAGGAAAATATTTAAAGAAAAGCTACTTGTGCAAGTTTTGTTTTTTAAAAGCCCGTAAGTTGAGAAATGGCTAAGTGTGATTCTATTTCTATGGTAAACTGTCATATAGTCTCTAAATGTTATATGTAAAGTTGTATGCAAAAATACTTAGAATCAAAATGTTAATTAGAATATAAATTACATTTACTGGTTATAATTGTATAAAAATTTAGGTTTCAACACTGAAAAAAATCCAACAGTTACAGTTTAACATTAAGGAGTTCTTTTTTCTGTAAACTACTGATATGTGTAATAAAAATAAAAGATTAATTTGCAAAATGGTTTGCTGAATTGGTGGGATAATTACTGATTTATTGGAAACATCTAAACTTTCTCCTTTAAAGAAGTACATTTCTGGATGTTAAAGGCAAAAAAATCTCTAAAAATGTGACAAAATTTTATAAGTCTTCTTAGGAAGGAACTCTTGTTTAGGATGAACTTTGTATCTTTTATAGCTTTTCTCAGTTGCCCAATTTTAAGGAATAATTATAGAAATGGTAGTATTGCATTTGAGAACAGCATGAAGGCATACTAGTTAAACTATGAGTCTAGATCTAAAAGTACACCTTTTGGGAGCCACGGAGCCTGTGGAAGTGAAGGCTGGATTCATAGCACCAACACTGGGCCTGAAAGGGTTTCTAGGGAGATGACCACTCAAGACACATCTTGGGATGGACAGTGCAGCAGATCCTGTCTTCCAGTCAGCCTTGGAGATACAAATGAAGGTGACTTTACTCAAGTAACAGTTGAACTAGTGTTGGTTATGAATTGGCATTCTAGGAAATAGAAATATAAAAACAAATTTTGTCTAGAAACATTGTCTTAGAATATCTAATGAGGATTTAAGACCATTTTCTATGACATTTTTCTATCACACTTTGAATTTAACGACCACTACTACTCTCTTTAATATGCAAAAGAAAAAAGCAAATGAAATCTTTTAACTTCTGATGCTTCACATTTCTTTGAGAGTCAAAATATTTTATACTCGGCCAGATGTAGTGGTGCATGGTCTGTAATCCCAGCACTTGGAAGACCGAGGCAGGAGAATTGCCATGAGTTTCAGGCCAGCCTGAAGTACATAGTGAGATCCTGTCTTTAAAAAAAATACATATATATATATATATATATATATATATATATATATAAAATAATTTTTACAGGGAAGGAGCAGAGAAGAGATAGAACAACAGGTGTAGATGCTCAAGGTATAAAGGATTTAGGGTAGTAAAAATAAATCTGAGAAGCAGATCTTAAAAGTCTTCAAACAAATTGATGAGAATTAACTATTTGCCTTCATTTTGATGGATCAAATGGAAGTCACGGTCCCTTTTGACTCCAATGTAGCTGCTTACTCAGAATTTTTAGTTAAGTTTTTTATCTTCACCAGATAAAGGATTACTGTATTTCCACTGTAATTCCTTTCAGTTTAACCAACAGCCAAATGTGTTCACATTTTGACAGTAGGGGGCACAGTACCTCCTGATTTCTGTAAGGCATGAACAATACAGTACATGAGGGATTCAACTGAAAGAATTTGTAACATGAGTGACGATGCGGGCTACAGCGTTGGTAAGAATGCTTTCCTCCCAACAACCATGTTTTGTGTCCTCTGGATAACTACAAAGGTAAGAAAGTGCTGGTATTTACACCCACTTTATAGATGAAACATGGAAGAATTAAAGTAAGTTGGGCTGGACTCACTTGTAGTTATTTAGATCCATTAGTAAGACGTGAAATACTGCTCTTCACCATCCCAAGAATGTGTGATTGTGTATAAGGGTACACTGCATGTTAATCACTTTCAAAAGTGCTGACTTACAGACTTAGAACTTTTCCCTTAAAGCGTACCTTCGGTTATTCTTTCCAACTAAAAATTCTATAAATTAAAATTTACATAATTTTAAGTGGATTAACTGGGGCTGAAAGAAGAAATGGGAGTTAAGTTCACACCTGAAATTAAAACAATTTATCTTAGTATTCTGAAGAGCTTCATTTATTTGTATAGATGACTTCCTGCTATTGTCCTATGATTCTGGCGTTTCTTGCTGCTAAATATATCTTTAATTCTTAACAGCTGAACAGCTACTTATTAGATGCAGACATATAAGGAAAAAGGAATGACTTTGGATTTAGAAGTACAGAATTGACAGCAAGAAAATGAATACATGTTTATAGATCAATCAGAAGGTGATAACGATAATTTTCTGGTTGTAAGAAAATAATCGGGGACATGAACAGATTTTAAACCCATTCTTTTTGTTACATGTCAGGTAAAGCCCTGTGAATCCTCTTTATTTCTGTTTGAGAACTATTTGTTCATCCTTTACCTAACTAATGAACATACTGACCTAGTCAAAAGCATTATTTTGTATTTTTGCACGTGAATTTCCTATTTGTAAGTTAAAGGTTTTGTAGCAGTTATCCTTATAAAGAAGGCATTTTGCAAAATGTTTAGCCAAAAATGAGCCAGGGATTTTGTTTTTAGGCAATTAAGATCATAAATTTCTAGTTTTAGGGTAAGCATGTCTGAATCAGTAAGACTATTTGAAAATAGTGTATATTCTCCATAAACTTCCATCTAATAATTTTACTCATTTTCTTTCATTAGGACAGTGATTCTCAAAGCAGTATATTAGTCGAGAGACGTTGTTTAAGCTGGGTGGGATCATTAATAGCACTAGTGAGTTATGAGGTTGCTGTTCAACATCTTACAATGCACAAGGCAGCACAAGAATTACTTTAGCTCCAAATGTCAAAAAACCTCTTAAAACATTTTTAATATTAAGAAATATATTTTCTCTTATGCTCCCCATATGTGCCTCTTAAGGGTTCTAACTCTTGTTAAATAGCATCACTGTTGATAGGAACACCTGTGTATCCCCTCTCACCCATCACCAGCTAACTGCGCATCCTTCTGAAGGGCTATCATAGCATAAACCCCAAGCGGAATTCAAAATGTATCTCATCCTTCTGCAGTTGTCAGATGTGGACTAGAATTAACTCCAAAGAAACTCGGAAATGAGGTTATTCTATTACTGCAAGCAACTACCTCAAAATTAAAGTATTTTAGCATGGTTTTTTTTTTTTTTGGAAGAATGTTAATTCACTTGAGAGATTCTCAGCAGTTTAATAGAATTGCATGTGTAGAGTAATATCGTATGAATTTCAGGGGAGCTCATTCAACACTAAGCCATCACTGTTGAACAGCATCAATTGGTGGTTGACCAAGTAATGAGATAGTGCAACAGCCTGGCATTTCATAGTTGAATGTTAACATAGAAAATACCCAACTGAAATGGAGTGAGCTAGTATACTCAGTGCAGATAAGAGCATTAGTAGATTATACTGCAGTGTGAAGCAGAGGGTTATTTACAATCTAACATTTATTAAGTACAGGCCATGTTCCAATTTCTATGCTAAACTTTTGGAATACAGAGAAGATAGTTGTAACTGACATTTATTGAGCACATCTTCTATGCCAAATACTTCTAAAAGTTCTTGTTATGTCTATAATCATAACAACTAACAGATAGGTCTTACTGCTATATGTCCTTTGAAGACTAGGAACTTGACTCAGGTCACATTGGTAGGTAAAAGGCAGAAGCAGGTTTTAAACCCAGGTAGTCAGACACCATAACTGATGTGCTACTCTGAGATGTGATGGATATCTTCAGAAGGCTGTCACATTAGGGCCAGGAACTCGAGGAACTGCACATTTTCCTGGGACTTTTCATTTCTTTAACATACTATGTAGTTTTTAAAAGCAACCCTGTATAGGTAGATATTAATGTTTCTATGTGTGGATGAGAAGTATCAATAAGTTTCCCAAAATTACAGAATTGCCAAGAAGTACAACTCCCAATCTACTGGCATTGACAAAGTTGCACAATTAGCCGTCATATTATTTGGACTATAATAACGACTGACAAAGGCACAAACTGTAAAGGATATACAAGGGTTATTTTTAGCCTGACTAAGGAAACTGGGGAATACTTCACAAAAGAGAAATATTTGGACTGGGTCCCAGAGGTTGAAAAGAATTCCCAAGGGCTGATATGAGGAAAAGCATTCCATGCAGGATAAACAGTAAAAAACGGCATAGGAGCATTGAGGACGTGGCTTGTCAGGCTCAAACATGCATTGGTGTGGGAAGGCAGGGGATATGGGACAGGGGCAAAGCACTAGGAGTTTGGAACAGCATGCTAAAGTGGAGCTTTCAATTTATAAAGAAATGCTGTGTACGGTTTTCTACATAAGACATGCTTCAAAGGTCCCCATAGGGTGACGTGAAGGAGGCTGGAATAAGGTAAGACTGGATGTAGGTGGACTGGTAAGGAGGCCACGTGAATGTGATGTGGCCTGAGCAGGACAGGGCATTTGGGAATGAAAGATTTGGAGGTAGATTTATAATTTGGAAGAAGAAACACAGGATCTGGAGAGCTACTGTGCATCTCAAGATAGAGAAAAATTGAAATGACTGAAATTTCATCTGGTACTTGAATGAATAACATATATAACTAAAACCAGAAACAGGTTTTGAGAAAAGCAGGTTTTGCTAATACAAGGTGATCTGGAAAGTGATCAGGTGCTTGGTATGCCTTGCTAATCTGTGCTAGTAGAGAAACAAAGTTTTTGAGCACGAAATGAATCAATTGTGTTTATCAGACACAGAGACAGAGATCTCCATCCCCTGGGGTCTGTATAGAATAAAACCCCACAGGAGATGAGTGAGGGTCTAAATTGGGTCAGTTCTAGTTAGGGCAGCAAAGGGCAGGTTTGAGAACTATCCAGGAGATTAAATCTGCATGACCCAATTGTGTATTGACTGTGAGTGCTGCAAAGAAGGGAGAATTAAGATAATTAAGAGTTACTAGGTATAGCACTAGAAGGAATGCAGACACAGTGTCCTGTCTTGATTTGACTTGGTAACTCTCACATTGAATTAGATGTGGGTTTGAAAGAGTCCTTTTCTAATATTAGTATATACTTTATTTTTTCAGTCTTTTCCCTCCTGGGCTTTCCCTCATCGGTTTTGAGGACTTTCTGTGCCTCAATTACCATTCTGTCCAACACTTAGGCCAAACAGTTACTCATCCAATGGTGAGAAAGAGACAAAGTCCTAATATGATTATTTCAAGTCCGGATTATGAAGTTTACATTTTATTTCTATTGAACAGCAGAAGTCAGAACTTGAACTTTTGGTTACATAAGGTATTCCATTTGTTTTTTCCTTAAAGGAAAAAGACAGCAACGAAACATACAACATAGAAACAGCA